TATGACTGCATGTACAATAAATGTAAAGATTGTAAGAGTATTTCATATGATGAAAGGTTCAAATGGGCTAGGGTAAACCATGAATATGAAAAATCTGGCAAAGTATATACAACTAAAAAGACCACTAAACAACAAGTAAAAGGAACTGTACTTGATATCATCACCAACTTTTAGAACGAGCTACCGGCGTTTAAAACTCATTTCTATAACTGGATTGAACAACAACGTCAATACAGAAATTGTATCAAGAACATGAAAGATGACGAGATACTCATTTTATGTGACTTTTCGGAGAATTTTGAATGTAAATATAGTGAAGAAGTCCAATCAATGCACTTTGGTGCCTCCAAAAACACGATCACTTTACATTGTGGTGTAATTTTTTAGAAAAATCTATCCCAATCATTTGTATATGTTTCAGATAACAATTGCCATGAGCCGAATGCCATCTGGGCACACTTGATACCAGTTATAAAACTTGCAAAAGAAATGAACCCTCATATCAAAGTTATACAAATTTTTTTCAGACGGCCCAAGCAGCCAGTACCGTCAAAAAAAGAAAGAACTTTTATCTTTTGAGTTTATTCACCCCAAAATTGAAACTATCATATTCAACATGGTCATTTTCGGAGGCAGGTCATGGCAAAAGTATGGCAGATGGGATTGGGGGTGCCGTTAAGAGACAATTGGATAAAAGGATTTCTTATGGTCATAATGTTACTAACGCCACTGAAGCATTTCAAATTTTAGAGAACAGCGTGAAGACAGTAAAGTGCTTTTACATAAGTAATCAAGATATTGAAAACATGAACCAACTTATTCCAACGGCATTCAAGCTGTTCCTGGTACAATGCAATTGCATCAAATATCATCTACACAATGTAACCAGATTAAATATCGGCAACTGAGTTGTTTTTGTGGGAAATATCGTGGTTTGTGCAGTTGCTACTGTCCCAAAATACATAATTTTGTTAAACCATCAAAAGAAACTGCCAAATTGAGTGTTGAGGCCTTAATAGTTCCTGGGACGTCAAAAGACAACATGAACGTTACTCCTTGTTATTCGAACCTAAGCATTGCGCCCCACAAAATGAATACGGCAATTGATTATGAATTTCCAGAAAATACCCGACAGATAAGCAGTTCCCCTATTGAGGTTATTCCTGATCACATGCTCCAAGATTTAGAAACATACCAAAGTGTTAATGAAGAAAACATAAATTTTGATTTCCATGTGGGTAAAATGGATGAAACTCCAATTTATTCCCTAGAAGACAACAATATTTTTGGACCACTCATAGAGATAACTTCTCTGACTGATAATCAGAGATTAGTCGAACCTAAATCTGATAGCATAATTCCAATCCTGGAAAGTTCATGCATGACAGCTTCAGATCACGTTCTTGGTAATACCCAAAATAAACAGCTCAAAGGGAATCTTGCATCTCTTGAATGTCAGCCCTCTAAGAAGAGAAAAATAAATATATCGAACAACAAACATAACGGAAAAGAATTTAAGTCATCAAGGACTTTTTTGTGCTCTATTTGCAAGGAGCGTCAGCCTTTTGTTATACAAAGAATGGTAAAATGTAATGCATGTAAAAGTTGGGTTTGCCTGATATGTAGCGGAACAACCTTTTTTGACTACATTTGTTCGATTTGTCTTGGGACTGATGAATAGTGTTGATTGATCTCAAATGTGTTTTTTCGCATTGTTTTTTGTTAAGTGTTGTTTAATTTACTTACTTTTTAACCTTTTTTTTTACTCTTTTTTGTTACAGTTTAAGACCGTTTACGACGTACGGCATTTCATACAAACTTTCAAGTCTTTATTTTTCGAAATAATTGAACCGATTTTAATGAAACTTCCCACGCATAAGCAGGATATATACACCAAAAAGTTAATGAGAACATTTTCGAAAAATAATGTTACAGCTAAATTCGACCGATTTTAAATTTTCCATAGAAACAGATATTTGCAATTATCTTGTTTAGAACAAATATGTTCACCAAAAAGTTAATGAGAACATTTTCGAAAAATAATGTTACAGCTAAATTCGACCGATTTTAAATTTTCCATAGAAACAGATATTTGCAATTATCTTGTTTAGAACAAATATATTCACCAAAAAGTTAATGAGAACATTTTCGAAAAATAATGTTACAGCTAAATTCAAACGATTTTAAATTTTCCATAGAAACAGATATTTGCAATTATCTTGTTCTAAATAAGACATTTCGAAAATGTTCTTTACTAACATTTTAGAGCTATGTGTCCTGCTTATGCGTATGAAGTTTCATTAAAATCGGTTCATGCATTTCGAAAACAAGGACTTGAAAGTTTGTATGAAATGCCGTACATTGTAAACGCTCTTAAATGACATACTAATAATATTATGTTTAATACGATAAATACAAGTTACCATGATGGTTGTTATAATTCAGAGTCATATAGACGTTGCCTTATAGTTCCTAAACGTCATTTTCGAATTCCATTAACGTCACTGTCCTATTATTACTGTGATTTATTTTCTAAGACTAATTAATAGATTTCAAAGAAATTTGACTGTTTTTGTTCAATATAGTTTATTATTAATTTTTAATTTGTTAAAATTAAACTTTTGAAAGAATATTTCTCATATTTGACGTTCTAGGATGAAAAAAATATAGTACAAAGCACCCAAAAGTAGCGTAAGGAATATCTTTGTTAAAACATTTTTTGATTAGATCTAATATGCTGAATTATCAATATTTTTTAGAAGACTGATTGTGTTTATTTTTCGTAAATAAAGTTAAAAATACTGAACTTCTTTTAGTTTTCATGAAAACTATTTTAAATTTAGTAACGTAATGAAATTTCTTGAGAACATAATTTAATTAAAATTGTAATTATTTTCAAAATTCATTATTATTTTCTTAAAAAAATCCTATTTTCATACTGCTCATACTATATTTTATCAATTTAATTACATTTTGAAGCTAAATGTTAAAACTCATTTATGTGGAATTCTAATTACGTCACCGACAATTTTTTTGAAAAACGCCCAGGTGCTCTTCAGACTGAGTAGGACAAATAATTTTATTTTATTACGCGAATATGAGCAATTTAATTTCTAATAACTTCAACCACATGGATTGAAAAATGCCCGAGAATATTGAGTCATATTCTGGTTTGAACACCTACAATTTTCCTGTCATCTTCGCACCATTACTGTACCCTTGACCTCGTCAATCATTCATGTCTAAGTCAAACACTTAGAGTCATTTACTGGCTTGCAAGTAACAAAATACTTGTGCTTTGACTTGCTAATTAGCGTCAACAAAACGGAATGTTAGTGATAGGAATAAGTGAATTGTGACCGGTGCTCAGTGGTAGCGTTTCGATTGATTTCAGCCCCCCCCCCAAAGATGGCGCCCGGTGCGGTTTCACCGTTCGCACCGCCCTAGGGCCGCCACTGTGTGTGATGTACACAAACATCACACACAGTGGCGGCCATCGTGACAAACATCTCTCTATTACATATTTTTCAGTGTTTAATGCTACATTTTTTTTTGGATTAGACACATTTTATTGATAAAATTATACTGCATTATACTACATAATGGTTCTTTATTGATAAAATTGTTTTTATTTTCTCTATTTGGTGTATATTAATATTTTTGTCACTTTAACTTTTTGCCAACTTTTTTGCCAAGTGTACTTTAACTTTTTGTTTTGTCATTTTTGTGATTTGGATAAACAGTTTTACTTCATTACTCGCAAGTTGATCAGTTTTGTTTGAATATGTGCTCAGTAATTAATAAATCAAACATTAATTCATTTTAGAATTCTAAGTCAAATTTTGGAGAACTAGGCAGTATTAGTACACATTTGTTCAAACTTAATGGCGGCTCGGAACATCGTTCGTTCCGATGCACAGAACACAATTTTTGGGTATCAGCGGGGGATGTAGAGGGACGTGGTGGCGGGGCACATCAAGAATCAACTCGTTCCAAATTTGCCAGCAAATTCAGTCGTTGTTGTAGATAATGATTCTTATCACAACAAACAAGAAGATCCTGCACCTACCTCAAACTCAAGAAAAGCAGACATGCAATCATGGCTTCGTAAAAAAATATTAAATTTGAGAAAACAATGCTGAAGCCACAATTATACAAGTTAATTGCGAAGAATAAAGAACGCTTCAAAAAATTTAACATCGATAAAATATTGAAAGAGAATAACCACTTAGTTTTACGCCTCCCCCCTTATCACCTCGATTTAAACCCCATCGAGATGGCATGGGCAGCAATAAAACAATAGGTCGCAAAAAAAAAAACGTTAACTGGAACGTAAATTCAGTCATGGAATTGGTCCAGCAAAAAGTTAAAGAAATGGGGGAAAATGAATGGGGGGCATTGTGCCGAAAAGTGATCAAGATAGAGGAAGAGTAAAAAAAAAGTGACGTTGTCGTTGATAGATTGACGGACGAATTTATAATCCATGTCAGCGACGATGAATCAGATACCGAGTCTGAGGAGGAATCAGATTCCAGCGAAGACGAAGAAAGTGATGTTTCCATGGAAGCTCCTTCCACAAGCAGAGACGTTTTTATGGAAGGGATACAGCCCTTAACTTAAAATGAAAATAAAAACTTTATATATTGTTTATAAAATCTGTTTTATTTTTAACCGACTTCAAAAAAGGATGAGGTTCTTAATTCATCTGTATTTTTCTTCCTTGAACCCTCCTCATACTTGCTAACTGACATTTATGTACTATATGTACAGAACTTAAAACACAAAACTTTCAGTTATTAAAATAATTAAATTGAGCCTAAATTTTTGTCAACTTGACTGTACCTGCGCGCACCTGCACTCGCAGCTAACTTCCGAACCGCCATTAAGTTTGAATCGAATAATACCTGCTACAATTTTATGGGGTAATAAAAACAATTGAGAATAGGAAGGTATATTGGAATCAGAATATATGTTCTCAGAAAATTGTCTTTTGATTTCAGGTTATTTTGTTTGTCCCAAATGTGATGTTCATGGAGATTGGAATATTTTGGAAAGACTAGTAAAAAGAGCCAAAATAGAAGCAACAATAAAAGATTACATAGAGAAAATGCATCAAAATGCTTGTCAATTTCAAAAAGATTGGCAAAATATTTTAGATAATACTAAGTCAATGTCACAACTTAATGAAAAGGATGTCTTAGATATATTTAGACTATTCGAGTATCCTGTGAGTACATGCTCTCTTAAGTTTAAACTCATATTTTTAAATACTATTAAAAATCATTATACCATTTTTAAATATGTTGAATAAAACTATTTTAAAGGACCTTATCATGTTTAAATTTATTTATATATTTAATTGCAGACTTGTACAGTGCTTTGCAGCACCCATGGTGTGCTTAATATAAAGTGCTTGACTTCCCAATTTCATGGTTTACCAAGTGTACCTCCAGTGCTTATTATTAATCTTAATCTGATCTACACAGAATGAGCTTACTGTATCTGACTTTAGTTTTGCAGTGATATGCTTGGGTTTGCATTTCATTTCATTTGTTACATGATATCAAGTAAGCGGTAGTACCCAGCCACATTCTTGAATATATCGAAATACCCACATATTGAAATTAGGATGTTTTTTTTCCATTTCAGCAGCCTCACATTCCTTGCTAGGAATCAAGCTTCTTTTGTGAGAATTTGTTGTTTATCAATTCTTATTTAATGGTGGGGGCCATTTTGGATTTGATTACAGACTGTAGACTTCTTGGAGCCTTGGTGTTTCACATAAGCTGTATGTTTTTTGCGCCCGAAGCAATTAAAGGGCTACCCTATACGTAGGGAGGCGGAAAATGCATTACGCATACCACGATAGCCGGTCTATCGTGGTTATGAGGGGCTCACTGTCCTACCGGGGACCCTAAGTGATACCCTCTAAAAACTGCCTTTGGGGACAGGCAACCGGCTGATTAAGCTCTATTGTGCCTTATCATGAGGGACCCTCTTTTGGGAAAAGAGGGCGCAGGCGGCTAAGTGCCGCTGAGGGAGTGCCTACGAAGGCAATTTAATGTTAGTTATTACAATAATTTTATTTAATTAGAGTTGGCCTGAGCCGCCAGGAGACAGTTCAGGTCGTTTGAAAGTTTATTAGGCGGGTCCGAGAGAGAGTTTCTCGGCCTGCGGACATGATAGCGAGAGGGGGGTGGGGCTGCATAAGAAGCTGCCTCACGAATTAAATGGTTTGGGTGCGACTCTGAGGCTTTGAAGAAGTTCTCAGAGAGTTTTTTAAAAAATTGTTGAATTGTTGGGAGCTCTAAGTCCCGATGAAGGTCGGCATTACGGACGTACCAAGGTGCGTTCGCAGCTCGACGACAGAAGAGGTTCTGAACTATTTGGAGTTCATTTAAAATATTAGGGTTAGCGTGGGCAAAGACGGGGCCCGCGTAGGACATGACTGGTCGTATACAGACCTTGTAAAGGGTACGCTTGTTTCGAAGGGACATTTTACTGTGTCGGCCCAACATGCTGTTGAGCCTACTCAGATAAAATCGTGCGTGACGGGTTACTCTTTTGACGTGGGGCTTGAAAGTGAGCCCTGTGTCTAGAGTGACACCTAAATATTTGGCGGACGTATGCTAGGGGACAGGGGTCCCTAGCATACGTATTGGTGGAGTGTTTTTGAGACGGCGTCGTTTATAATCGAAGTGAACGGCGGAGCTCTTCTCCGGGTTCACATCGATGCGCCATTTTTTGAACCAAGCTCCTAGGTCATCAACTGACTTTTGGATCTTGTTCCGTATAAAGGGTAGTGAGACACCTTTGCAGTAGATGGCAGTGTCATCTGCAAAGAGGGAGAGTTGAACACCTTTCGACGGGATGGGAATGTCGTTGGTGAACAGGATGTACAACAGAGGAGCAAGTACTGAGCCCTGAGGGACACCAGCCTTGCTAGTTCGCTGTGAGGATAGCGTGCCTTCGTGTCTAAAACGAAAGGTACGATGTTTTAAGTATGAGGCCACGAGACGAACTAGACGATCGGGGAGACCTATTTTATAGAGCTTGTAGATGAGGCCTGTGTGCCAGACTCTATCGAAAGCTTTAGTTATATCGAAAAAGACCGCGATGGTCTTATGACGACGAGGATAGAAACCGCTGAGGATATATTCCACAATGCGGTGGACTTGTTGGGGACATGAGTGTTTGGCTCGGAAGCCGAATTGATGGGGAATGATAAGAGGGTCGCCGTCTGTGGGAAACAGATAGCTCCTCATACGAATTTGGATGACTCTTTCGAAGAGCTTGCCCATTGCCTTGAGGAGGCTAATGGGGCGATGGCTGGAGGGGGAGGTTGAGAGGCTTGCCTGGCTTGGGAATTCCAATCACAGTAGCCTCTTTCCACGTAGTGGGAAAATAACTAAGGTTGAAGCAGGCGTTGAAGATAATAGATAAAAAGGTTAACACCTGCTCGGGAAAGTGTTTTAGGGCTTGGTTGGAGATGCCATCCGCGCCCGGAGCCTTTTTAGGCTTAAGTCCTTTGATGAGGGATGAAATCTCATCATTGGACACAAAGATAGGTTCGGAGGCCGTGGGGGGTGAGTTCCGGCGGCGGACCTCATCCTCCACTGCCTGGACGTGTGAGGGGTCGACGGGTTGAGAACTAGGAGAGCATTGAGCGGCAATGCTATCTGCAAAGCACTCAGCCTTTTCCTCGTCCTCGAAGGCAACCGTACCGTCAGGACGGGAGAGAGGGGGAGTGTGGGTGATAGCGTCTATGCGGAGGGCTCTAGCCATCTGATAGTACGCTGTGTGAGATGGAGAGATATTCTCCATGAGCTTACTCTTTTCGAGATCTTGAAATTCAGAGAGGCGGAAGCGGAGTTTTCGTTGAAGACGATTGGCCGCGCGCCTGTATTCGGGGGGTGGGATATTTTGCTGCTCTCCGGAAAGCAGCTTTTTTGTTTTTAATAGGTTGCTAATATGTAGGGGAAGCCCACTATTGTTAGCAACCGGGACGACCCTTTCGTTCTCCTTAAGGGAGGATTTAATAAGGGTGGAAAGTGAATCGACCGCGGTGTCGATTTTTTCGGGACTGTCTAAGTCCGACGGTATGGGGATGGTAGACTCCTGTGAGTCCAGAGCTTTAGCTAGGGACTCCTTGAATCCCTTCCAGTTAGTGAAGGTTTTCGTGTGTGTTGGGGGAGGTGGCTGATGGCCAAGAATGAGGGAGACCGGAGCTGTATGTAATTTTATACAGGTTTTTATAGATCTTTCTGTTTGCCCTATATAGGAGATACCACATTCACAACAAAACTTGTATACTCTGTCTTGTAGAGGGATATTACACTTGACAGATGGTAAAAATTAATTATTCTTCTTCAGCAGCTTGTAGAATGTTCTAATTGAACCTCACTTCAAATTGTAACCAATCTTGTATCTGTTACATATGGTAGTACCACATGCACATGCTCAGCTGTGGCTGGACTCATTCGTTCACTGTGCTTGATATGCTGAAGCTCAGCGGTCAGGTGTTTGCTGTTACAAATCGCATGTGCGCTCTGAAACAATGTTTCCAAGTCAAACTTGAATTTGGTCTTTTGCAATAGATGGCCAGATTATCAGACATAGGTATTTTACCTCATTCACAAAATGGAATGAATTTTTGGCATTCTCTTCCGTGTCCTCTGAATTTTGATAGTATTTTCATTATGTGTTGAGCTAATCTATAAGTTGGCGAATCGATTTAGCTCACTACTCATACTACAGACATAATGGAGCATTTAGTTGTAGTGTATTTTAAAATTAACATTATGAATTGTATAGTAATTAAACATTGTAAAATCTGTAAAAGTAGTTTTGTTCAATGCATTATGTTTTATAAATATCAGAAATTGTTATATTTTAATACATTCATATTTAATTAACAGTATCATCATGAAGCAAATAAAGTCATGTCTGATGTAAGGATTTCTACTGATCATACAACATTATATTTTCCTTTGAGAAATGCAGTTGAAAAAGTAATAGGATATCGTAAACTTCAAGCCGGGAGAGAAGAAGAAGCTGAAAGCCATGGGATGCATTCAGCTGGTCTATTCTGGTGCAAGGCTCATAAAGTGAGTCATAATGCCCAGGCTATTTTGGTCCCTAGTATACAAGATGTATTACATTTGGCAGCTCATAAAATTCCTGGTATGAAAAATATATATATTATTATTTTATATATAGAAGTGCGTGTGACAAATGAGTTCACCTGATGGTCGCAGTGGCCCATAGACATCTCAATCTCATCAATTAAGAATCAAAATGCAAATACATTGTCACCATTCTAAGGCATTCCACTTTAGTCTCTAATTCTGCTAATATGAATTGTCTTGTTTCAAGAAAAAGGGTCTCTGGTAACGAGGCAGTCTATCTTAGTTATCCATCATGAAACAACAGCATTATGCTTCTCTTTCACATAGGTATTTAGTGAGAATGTGGTCCTTCCATGGTCAAGCTGATCCGTTTGTGTTATAGCCACCATTCAGCAATGAGAAGTAAAAAATTAATTGCTACAGTAATGCAATCTGTCACGAGATTATCTTTGGTCTCTAAAGGGCATTATAAACATTAGTTATAGAGATATAAATTATGTTTAAATAATGCATTCTAAATGTGTATCTATGCTTGTATGAAAGGATAATTGTTTTTAATAGTTTATTGAACCTTACAACAGTATAGAATCAAAAGGCGGACTTAATGCTTAAATTATTTTCTGCCAGTCAACCTTAGGGCAGTGATAAAACTACGAAGGCGGTTACAAAGATCATGCATCGTATATAAAAGAAAACATATAAATAAGAAAAGATAGTTACAGTTAGATATTCTGTTGATAGGAAGGTTCCATCTGCAGCATAAGCATGGCGATTATGGCAAATTCTTAAAATAGGGCAGCTCATCTCCAGTATTCATGGGCTGATAAAGAAGAAAATGAAAATTTATGCAGATCTAATTGTATTGCAGTAGTGTCAATGAGCAGCCTTGTATCGGTAAGCAAAGTGTAGGGCGGTTCCAACACTAGATAGAGTGACGACTTGATAAGAGATGCAGCAAGTCGATAGATGCTGGTTTCTTTCTGCCATGCTGTGTTGTAGCACAAATAAGTCGGCTCGACTTGGGAATGACCACGCAGAATACCAGCGTAAAATAGCAACTCAATGCTGCTGATTCATATGGTGAGTGTAGAAAACCAGAGACCCTTTTTACTGGAAAAGGGGCATTCCATCTTAGTCCTCAGGGCCAACAACGCAACTGCATTTTAATTCTTAATCGAAGATAGATGTAGATATCTATGAGCAACAGCATCCACTTACCATCATGTGGACTGTGTGCTCATTTGTCACCCTTATTCTATAAGAAAAGCTCAGGACCGTGCTTTATGGCATTTGATGAGGAGGGCGTTTGTTCAGCAGTGGACAACAAAGTTCTGATGTAACCCACATAAAAATACGAGTGTGCTTATGACCACATGAATGAAGTAAAACTTCTTTAGCTCCGTCTGTAATGTATGTATGTTTGTAAATGCTTAACCAATACCTTTAAACGAGCAATTCTTTTGTATTGCTCTAATTTATTTTGATTTATTAGGTTTTAGGAAGGTATAGTGCCATAAAATACCAAGAGTTCAAATAAAAATTAAGTAGTACATTATTTTAACGATATATTTTCAGTTGTGAAACAAATATTTTTATGTCTAAGTATTATTAAAGATAGGACTAAAGGTAATTTTTTTTTTCAAAATAAGACGTTTATATTTTAATTACAGATACAATAAAGCTGATAAAAATTAAACTGAGTTTTACTAAAGCGGAAGTGAAAAAATTGAATATATTAAATTTTCTCAAATTCTGTGATGATTCCCTATTGTAGATATGCCTTTAGAATATTTTATGTTACTTTTAAGTTACCTGGTAACTTATACTTTTATGTTACATGAGGCCAATTTAACGGCCTTACCTATATATATATATATATATATATATATATATATATATATATATATATATATATATATATAAGAAAATGTGGTTTTATCCATGTTTTTAGGCAATGAAAAACTGCTACAATATCATTAGAATACGAAAGTAAACCACCACCAGTTTACCAGTGCCTAAAAGGTTATAACGGCTCAAATGGGATATCGGGCGGTTCTGTAATTATAGAACGCCGGTTCGAGTCCAAATGTCTTCGGTCTGACTCTTTTTTCCAAGTTCCTTCCTTTGTGAGAAAATATATTATTTGGAGCCCTTTTTTAGTATATTTTTTTAAACACGAAAAATAATGATCGAGAAGATCGAAAAATTTTATTCATATTTCATCAGTATGTAATTTGTATCTAAATATAATTTACAAAAAACACGATTTCAAAATAAATCGGTCATCCAGGTACCGTGTATAATATACAATATGTAAAGTAATTAACGCACACCCTCAGACACCTCAATTAGTATATTATGTTATAATCATAATACATACACTGAATTTTTAGTTAAACATTTTTATGCACTGATTATTTATCAAATTAGTTATACTAATTCAGGAAGAATGTTGTGGTCACAGTACAAATCCACGAACGCAAAGACTTTAATGACCTTCGTTTTTCTTTATTTTTATTGAATGACAGAATTAGTAATAATACAAATAAAACTGCACTCTTAAAAGTCTTATTGCCTTAAGTTACTGTACATTTCAGTTTGTTTTGACTGTACAGATTTAGTTTGACTGTAATTTACGTAGTTTTAATTTTTTTTGGATAAAAAATTACCTATACTAAAAATGATAGGAATAGATTCAGTAGATTCTGAACAAACTACTTTCTCAAAGTGCGTTAACGTGCATGCGTAACGTGCGCCTTCCTTCCATAATTTGTTATTATTCACCCTAAAATTCGCAAAACATGAAGTTTAAAATGAGTTTACAATTTTATTCATTTTAAACATAGAATCTGTCTTATCCGACACTATTCCGATGATATCCCGGACGTCAGTCTAAGCGAGATTAGAATGGCTCTCCAGCACCTTAAAAACGGCAGGGCCCCAGGCGAGGATGGAATTACAGCGGAGCTTCTGAAAGCGGGTGGAACACCGGTACTTGAAGTCCTTCAGAAGCTCTTCAATTCCGTCCTCCATGGTGGCACTACTCCAGAGGCGTGGAGCAGAAGTGCGGTGGTCTTGTTCTTTAAGAAAGGCGACAACGCTCTCTTGAAGAACTACAGACCGATTTCCCTTCTGAGCCGCGTCTACGTGCTGTTTTCGAGAGTCATTACGAATCGTCTCGCACGCAGACTCGACGACTTCCAGCCTCCCGAACAAGCCGGTTTCCGAAAAGGCTTCAGTACCATAGACCACATACATACCCTGCAGCAGATTGTACAGAAGACTGAAGAGTACAATTTGCCACTTTGCCTGGCGTATGTGGACTATGAGAAAGCCTTTGATTCCGTCGAAATTTGGGCGGTGCTGCAGTCCCTTCAGCGGTGCCAAGTTGACTGTCGGTATATCGCAGTGCTGAAGTGTTTGTACAGTAGGGCTACGATGGCTATCCGAGTACAGAACCAGAGCTCGAAACCTATCCAACTGCAGAGAGGTGTAAGACAGGGTGACGTTATATCCCCGAAACTCTTCACCGCTGCGTGGGAAGACGTTTTCAAGCTACTGGACTGGAAAGGATACGGTATTAACATCAATGGCGAGTACATCACTCACCTTCGATTTGCCGACGATATAGTCCTTATGGCAGAATCGCTGGAGGACTTAAGCACTATGCTCAATGACCTCAATAGTGCCTCCCAACGGATAGGTCTTAAGATGAACATGGACAAAACAAAGATTATGTTTAATGTCCATGTCACACCTATGCCGGTAGTTGTTGGGAGCACTATGCTCGAAGTTGTTGACGAGTACGTTTACCTGGGACAAATATTCCGACTAGGTAAGTCCAACTTCGACCGAGAGGTCAATCGACGGATTCAACTCGGCTGGGCAGCGTTCGGGAAATTACGACATATCTTCTCGTCAGGTATACCTCAATCTCTGAAAACTAAAGTGTACAACCAGTGCGTGTTGCCAGTGATGACTTACGGATCAGAGACGTGGTCCTTCACTGCTGGCCGTATGAGGACGCTCAAGGTCGCTCAGCGAGCTATGGAGAGGGCTATGCTCGGAGTTTCTCTGCGTGATAGACTCAGAAATGAGGATATCCGCAGTAAAACCAGAGTGACCGACATAGCCCAACGGATTAGTAAGCTGAAGTGGCAATGGGCCGGCCATATAGCTCGAAGAACCGATAACCGATGGGGAAGAAAGGTTCTCGAGTGGCAACCTCGTACCGGTAGGCGTAGTGTAGGGCGACCCCCCACTAGATGGAGTGACGACCTGGTAAGATATGCAGGAAGTCGATGGATGCAGGTGGCTCAGGACCGTGCTTTGTGGCATTACTTGGGGGAGGCCTATGTTCAGCAGTGGACTTGTGAAGGGCTGTGATGATGATGATGATGAAACATAGAATATTTAATGTATTGAATAATATTAATTTATAAAATGCGGAACATAACTGGCTATGAGAGAAAGAGAGAAAGAAAATGTGCACACGCACTGATCTCTCTTGCTTATATCCCCCACTCAATTCCCGTTCGCCTCGCCCGATCACACTTTTCGTCACGCGTTCGCCAACTTACTCCCCAAGTCAAGCGCACGTAAAGAAGTTTTACTTCAAAAAAAAAAAAACAGTCCAATTGAGTAGGTAACTCCTCCTTTTTTGAAATCGGTTAAAAAGAATGTGCATACGTGCAAGCATAGAAGGTGCATTTATTTTACAGGTTCACTAGTATGGCTGAATAATTGCAATCTACCACCAGTTGTGCTTCCAACCCTTGAGGGATATCAAAAATTATGCTTATGGGGTGACTGGGACAATATGCGCACGGTTGCTGAAAAATTGGGCGAAGAGAGATGTCGTTTTGTCAGGTAATGTTTTAAAATTTTCCTATATATCATGTGTAAATTGTTATAAAAATGTTACTATTAGACCAACAGATGGATTGGTGACCGCATCAGAAACAGCTGCTGCCAATTTGTCCCTAAAAACCCTTGTATCAGAGGCGAAACCTGCAGCCCATCGGTCCATAACTACCTTTTCCGCTTTGAGGGATGATGTCTATGCGGAACTAACCAACATTGATAAGGTACATTGTGGTTATTTCTTGCTTACTGTTTGTTACCTCACTTTACTCACTTATTGTCTATAACAATCGTCACTATTAACAGGTAGATTACCAATTCTAGTTCAATCTAATCTTGCACTTTTAACGCTAATCCCGTTGCTCGGGGTATCTTCAAATTAATATTAAAAATAATGATGCCGCCATTTGTCAGGAACGGGGTAACTGGGTGGTCGAAACTACGGTCATACCGTTTTCGTTTCGGTATCCTTCGATTGAATCCAGAAGAAGAAGAAGGGGGGGGGGGGTGTATAGTTCAGCGTATTTTAGTGCTGATCTCATCATCGGGATCAAGAAGAACAATGTTTGGACATCTCCTCGGGGGGGGGGGGGTTAGGTAGCTTTATTTTTGGATAACTTAAACTTCCAAAGACGTTTTGGAGGGTTATGTGCATAGGACACATTCGCGTATGTCATAGTAGGACGTACGCAGACGTTTTTCTGATAGCTTTCTAAAAATACTTGGATTTTTATGACGAAGATAACGATACCTTAACTGTCGAAATCCATCCAGCCGTTAGGAAGATACGAGGTGATTTGTTGCTTTTATAGGTGCGGGGGGTAAAATGGCGACGTTTCCCTGCCCTTACACGTTTGCTCGGCGGACACCGTCGCGGCGAACTCACCATCCTCACAGGACCTACTGGCTGTGGCAAGACCACGTTGTGCGCTGAAATGTCGCTAGACCTTGCGCAACAAGGGGTATGTATAAAGCAAAGTATGCAGCCATATATATCACAGCAATCTATTGGTTTAAACTTTAAACCCTTCTTACTTTCTTGAATTTGTAACGGGGCTTGAAATACATTAGTATATTATTAGGTATTTAATATTTTCAGGTTAATACCTTGTGGGGCAGCTTTGAGATCCGCAACTCACGGCTAGCACGAACTATGCTGCAGCAATTCGCTGGAGTACCGCTTGAGCAAAACCTCCAGAACTTCCACAAATACGCAGATGATTTCGAAAAACTTCCAATTTATTATCTAGCTTTTCATGGACAGCAACCAATTAAAGTTGTAATGGAGGTAAATTTTGTTTCATAGGCTCCATCTTTTGTATTTAGAATCGCTGAGGTCTCTAATTTTTCGTCAATATTTCGATAGGATATGTTGTGTAAATATAGCATCTTTGTAGACAGTTGGTAGCGGTGTAGAAGAACCCATTACCTAATTTCGTTCTGAAGGTTTCGTAAGAGGCTATAATTACACGCCAGAGGAGCAGCGTCAAAAGGTGCAAAAGGTACTGCGGTCGTTATTATTCTTCTGCGAAGCATGGCGATTAAGGCATAACCTCCTAACGGAAGAAGCCCATATCTAGTTGGAGACTTGCGGTCTGGTGAAAAAGAAGAATAGCACAATTTATTGATATTTGATACAAGTTTATCGGCCGGTAGAAGCCGAACAAATTAGAAGGTTTTTAGACCGAGCCTAAATAAATCGTCAAAGGTTATTTAAAGTTTTAAACAGATTAAAATACAATATATGAAGAGCGAAGTGCTAAGGTCCTCCAGCGTTTCGCTATTGATACTGATAACATATCCTTTCCACTCCAGTAGCTCGAAAACATCTTCCAACTCAGCAATCAAGAGTCAAACAAGTACCCTTACTGTATAAACACTTCAACACTTCGATATACCGACCCACCGCCCAAATATTGACGTGAATCAAAGGCAGCGGAAAAAACCGCGTTTTAACTTTCCCTGACTCTTTCCGGCAGATAGAATTCTGGTAACGATTTTGGCGCCTTGGGTCCGCTCACTGCTTCTTCAATACGAGCTGTATTGAATTTGCATAAGCCTTGCTGCGTGCATTTTCTGAGATCTGTCTCTTCAGCTGCCTGTACGCTGTCATATCTATTAAAGACTGCAGTTTAATTTGCCGTCTAACAGCCATGAGATTAAGAGTGTGATCAGAGAGTTTTAGGCTTACTTCTGCGACTGGTCTTACAAATTTTAGTTGCGATCGCATAGACGTTTTGCACAATATTCTCATTTATATCTTTCACTGTATTGAAATCGTCTAGGTACTGAAATAATAATAATATAATTACAGCCTATATACGTCCCACTGCTGGGCACAGGCCTCCCTTCATTTCTGAGAGGGTTTTAGGGTAAGTAATTGTCCGCCGCGCTGCCCCAATGCGTGTTGGCGAACTTCACATGTCTTCGAATTTTTTTTTCTTATTCCTCAGACATGCAGGTTTCCCCATGATGTTTTCCTTCACCACCGAGCACGTGGTAAATTAGCACTTAAAATTGCAATTGACAATTTCATTGGTGCCGGCGGGAATCGAACCCGGGTTACTCGCGTTCTGTTATATTTACAGCGAGCATTAACCATCTGAGCTTTTTTTATAGGAGCTGTTGACAAATGTTGATATAGTAACATGATAGTTTATTTAAGCTGCTTTTTATAGGATAAGTGGGACAAGCGAGCACACAGTCCACATGATGGTAAGTGGTTGCTGTGGACCATAGACATCTGCATCTATCCTCGTTTGCTAATCAAAATGAAGATGCGTTGTCAGCCTTGAGGACTAAGATGGAATGCCTCTTTTCCAGTAAAAAAGGGGAGCTACCACGGCTCTTAAGTACTGAAAACGATTTCGTGATTCAAGCTGAAAATTTTTGGTACTTTTGTCCCCCTAGTTGACGGAGAATAGACTAGTAGACGTGAATGATTCAGTGTGCCTCTCACCATTCAGTGCTCGCTACCAGTTTTGACCCTCGCGATCACTATGCCTAGTGCGAGTTTTTTTACGCGTTCGATAGCGATAAAGTTAACCACGATTCGTATGGAATAAAAAAGCGCCAACTAGTGACAATAATTTGAAACAAAATTCCTGAGTGCGATGATTGGTTGTTTGAAATATTTTGCGAGTGCGAGCGACAATTTTGATCGTTCGAGACGTAACTTATGTAAACTTTACGCCGTCGCTATCGAAAAAGTTTTCACATAGATTTTTACAGTGAGATGGAAGAGTGAGAATAATTGTTGAAGAGTTAATTTTATTTCGTTTTATGTGAGCGTTGTATAATTATGGCAGAATGAGTTTTTTTCCCTTGGAGCATGTTTGCAGCCGCTAAGGCATAAAAAAATAATAATTATTAGATGACTGCTATTATAACGCCAGTGTTGAAGCAAGAGCTTGTGCATATTTTTGTCCGTTTTTACATCCCGACGACAGGTAATTTAAGTTCAAGTTTTGTGTAAATAGCGTTTAATAAATCTAAGGTATACCATCTCTATTCAATAATTAAATCAATTCCTTCTAAATTTTTTATACAGACCATTTGATCGCTTGCATAAGACGATGCTTTGCCGAGGCCTTCATGCCGAAAATCTAATAAATTGTAGTCCGTGTTACCTAGTTACAAAACACACGTATCAAACTTTACACTAAATAACTTAAATTCCATTTACTGCTCCAAAAATTTCACCATAAAAGCATATTAGAACGAACACATCTTTATGTTTTTTTGCTTTTAATTTAAACATTATATTAATAACAATCACGGACGAGTTATTCGTCCGTGTTAACAATTAAATATCTAATTCACAATCTCATTATACTAACACAAACTGTCGAGTGCCGAAACCTTGATCAAATTACGAAACATAAACAAATAAGTAATAAAGATATAATAACCACAAATTTGATAGACAGATGCTAATATTAAGACCACTAAATAAAAATGTCATTCAGAATTTGGTTAGTTTATCTCACTAAACGAACATGCTACCAACATAAGAGAAGAAATAAACGCCAATCACGGTGAGCAAACGCGAATCGAAAGGTTAGCTTCGATTGTAACTCACACTCGCTCGTCTTCGCTTGTCGATACCGACGACGTTAACTCGGTTAACGTGATGGTGAAGTCATTCTATTAATTTTGTGGAACTCGCACTAGGCACACTGAACAGTTGTCGCCTCATTTTTGTAATGAAGTCGATCACATTTTTTGTTGAACCGTCGGCTGGATCAGATCCACTTTCTGTGGGGCCGCTTCTGGAAGAAAGACTTCAACATAATTCTTCTCCATTTAGGCCAGCTGTTAACCCCATGGGTAACGATACCTTATTTTAAATATCCCTACTTTCAGCTCACTGTGCTCTCTAGTGACCTATGTTGAGAAGAATTCTCCCATCAACACCGTAAATTGGTTTTTGGAGGGTGTGACTAGCTCTAGATATATCCTTTTTATTTTTACTACTTCAGTCCTATCGTTTGATTAGATTTGCGACGTGACTGATAACTATTTGCGTTGGACAAGGACGACTGCTATCGTATCAGTTGTCCTTGTCGGCCTAGACTCCATATGGGTTGTCCAACGAATAATGCGCTGGCTCAAAGGACAAGAGAGGCAGTTTAATTAGAGTATCCAACGTCAGGTACCGTTCTTTATTTAAAGATGTTTGCAGATATTAATGAGCTGCCAGTAGCTATAATCTCATAAAACAGACCGTAGTCTTTTGTGTAACGCAGGCCGTAGAGCACGCACGCTACATGCACGACATTGCGCACGTGGTGGTGGACAACGTGCAGTTCATGTTGGGCCTCGGCGAGGAACGCGAAGGTGACCGCTACCAGCGCCAGGACACTGTGGTGGCCGCCTTCCGCACCTTCGCCACCGCGCGTCACTGCCACGTCACGCTCGTTATGCATCCCAGGAAGGTGAGCGGGATTCACTATATTAGGTTATTTATGTACTCTGCTTTTATCTGTTGAACATAAAATGTTACTGTTACACTAGAAAAATTTTCTGTATCGTGATGTTTTACATAAATAAATTACACATAAACAAGCATCCAGTCCCAGAATAATTTTTTTTTGAATAAGTGTTACAAACGAGCACACAGTCCATCTGTTGGTAAGTGGATGCTGCGACCCATATTCGTCTACATTAAGCCTCGATCAAAGATCAAAATGCAGACCCTTGAGGACTAAGATGGATTTCCTCTTTTCCAATAAACACCATACGAAACACAGCAGCATTAAGCTGCTGTTTTATATATAATGTGGTCGTACACCGGTGGAGCTAACCCATTCGTGCTACAACCCTATTATAGCTGCAATGTGGCTCTACCACGTTAGAGATATTTTATAGGTAAATATTTAGAGATCATACAAGGACTTGTTGTACTTGAAGTCGCAGCTTGCAACGTCGCAACTAATTGTTTAGCAACTACGCCGTCAAACTGTCAGCACTTGTTCTTTGTTCTATATAAAGGTATATAACACAAGTGGTAATATTAAAAATTGCGTACAACCAAATTCAATATAAAAGAACATCATCGATTTAGTCGAAGCCAATTAAATACGCATTGTTTAAGATAACACAAAACTACTATATATATATATATATATATATATATATATATATATATATATATATATATATATATATATATATATATATATATATACATATATATATATTCAACAATGTAACAGTTTTAATTACAAAATCAATTTTTTCGTGCCATTAAACACTTTGTTGTTTGTCTTGGCACTGCACAGTTTGCATTAATTTACTTAAGCTTATTATTTAAATGACATTGGAATTAACTTTTTCTTAAACTAAATATAAAGTACTATGTAAAAATTGTGCTACAAAATGTTAAAAAAAATTTTGGCATAAAAATTTTATATAAAATCTATAATATGTATTTCTTAAACAATTTTTTTGTGGAGAAGGTAGTTTTTGGTATTGTTTACCTGGAATAGTGAAGTAAAAACGTGATTGTTGTCTTCAATTGTTCGCTTATCCGATATACTGTACTATCTTATTTATGCGCGTACACACGGAGTGTATTTTTAAGGAATAATTTTTTTATGTATTTTATTTTGTTACACGTTTTGTTTATTTGTCCAATTTAACAATTATTGGCATAGATAGATATAGCTCATTATGATTCTCATTGAAATAAGATATATAGATTTTTTTTTGAATTCTTATTATGCGAAAAAATTTTTAAGTTTTGTTTTCAAGTTTTGTGCGGTTAGCTGGCTTATCTCCGTAGGTATAGAATTTAATATGTATGGTATTAAAAATGTATGTGTTCTCTTACCGCAGTAATTATTAGTTCTAATTGGTGAATAAGGTGTTTTATTCCTAGTGCTATAAATGCGTTCCCTTGGGGTTGGGAACATCGAGTATTCATAACATTCTTTTAAAATCATATATTTCATCTTTTTATGTATGGGTAAAACTTTGCAGTACGTGAAAAGGTATGAGTAATCATTTCGATATTTGTCCTTAATGTGTTGAGGCAATATAGATTTTAAAATTCTTATTTGTAAGCTGTAAATTTTATCTAGGTAAGCGCGGAAAGTTCGTCCATAACTACTAAGACCATATGATACTATCGATTCCACTAGAGCATTATATAGGCTTAGAAAATTTTTTAAATGGAACTTTATTACGAATAATATAAAATTTCCAGTTTTGATTCTTCCAGTTTATCCTATTATCTATAATCAGTCCTAAGTATGTGTGATACTTAACAAGAGTGATTTTTTTCGCAGGAACAAGTTATTATATTGTGCAGACAAAGATGATTATGAGCAATAATGCTTACTGGTATAATATTCTTGATATGACTAGAATGAATACCTTAGTTTTTTGTATATTTATTACAACTCCTAGATCGTGAGCCCACATAGAGAGGCGTGAAAAATCATCTTGTAATTTTTGCATGGCGACATACCACATTTATCTCTTATCACGCAATTTCTCACCCTGTCATTCAGATTCAACCCTAGCATACTCCTTAAAGACCGCATTTCTACAGCATTTATTCTACTTTCATGCTTCTTCTGCCACACCCAGCTTTCACTACCATACATTAAAGTAGGGACTAACACAGCATTATGAATTACCATACGTGCTTTTTTTGACACATTCTGGTTCTTCATAATGGAGTGTAGTGCCCCATTCACTCTATTACCTGCATTTACTCGTCGTTCTATATCCCTATCATATCTACAATCCCTGCTAAATACACATCCCAAATACACAAACTCATCCACTTGCTCAATTAACTCTCCTTCTATTCTTATTTCACATACCGTTTTGCTTTCTTCTCTTTCAAAAACCGTCACTTTCGTCTTACTTGCATTCACTTTCATTCCCTTTTCTTTTAATTCCCAGTTCATTAATGTAACCATCATTTGCAACTCAGCCGCCGATGACGCAAATATGACTTGATCATCGGCATACAAAAGGCATTTGACGGTTAACTCGCCCATTCTTAACGTACATTCTTCATCTTTCAAAGTTTGCAAACACCTGTCCATAAATAGGTTGAACAGCCAAGGGGAAGCTACACAGCCCTGTCTGACACCTTTTTGGATGCCAAACCAGTCCGAGTAGACCCCATTAATCCTGACACAAGCACTAGAGTCCCTATAAAGAGACCTTAATGCCTGTATCAAACCAGCGCTCAACCCATATGAGTTCAGTGTTTTCCATAACACATTCCTGTCCACTCTGTCATAAGCCTTTTCCAAATCCATGAACGCACAAAAAACTTTCTGGTTTTTGGCCAAAAACTTCTCCGCAATCATGCGCATGGAAAAGACTTGATCTGTACACCCCATTCCCTTTCTAAAACCCGCTTGCACATCCCAAATTTTTCCATCAGTTTCTTTCATAACTCTTTCAATTAACACCTTAGCATACAGTTTACCCACAATACTAAGCAAGCTGATTCCACGGTAGTTTTTGCAGTCCTGCTGTGACCCTTTTCCTTTATATATTGGTACTATAACTGCTTTACACCAGTCATCCGGTACCCGTTTTAATTCCCAACATAAATTAAACAAGGTGTACAGCAGGCCTGCCACCACTCCCTCTCCAGCCCTTAGCATCTCGAGTGATACTCTATCATATCCAGCTGCCTTACCTGCTTTCATGCTTTTCATTGCTTTCATTATTTCATCTACACTTATCTCCATACCCCTTTCCACTTCTTTCGGAATTTCTAGTTCATTTAATTCAGACGACTCTTCACTCATAAACACGCTTTCAAAGTATTCCTTCCATCTGTTTAAATTCGAAGCTTCATCATACAGAATACATCCATTCTCGTCTCTTATAGCATTCATTATAGGCTGTTTTGTATTTCCTCTGGCAGTTCCTACGAGTTTCCAGAACATTTTTATGTTAGCCTGGAAATTATCAGATATCCTTCTATCATTCTTATCCGTTCTTTCTTTCTTTTTCCTTTCAACAACTTCTTTTACTCTCTTATTTAGACGTCTAAATTCTGCCTTTTTTCTTTCAATCTCATCATTCATACCAGAAGAATTACCAGCTTTGGTTGCTAGTAAATCTAACCATGCTTTCTTCTTTGATTCAACTTCCACCCGTACCTCATCATCCCACCACAACGTATTACTTTTCCTTTCATTTGTTCTCTTATTTACACCACATACTTCGGTGGTGGCATCCACCAAACCTTTCTTAATATTGTCCCACACAGTATTCCAGTCTAAATCATTCATACACAACTCATTGAAACATCTAATATTTCCTCTGTCTACATTTATACTTCTCTTTCACATCTTCATCTTGTAACTTCTCTCCAGTTCATCCTATTATCTATAATCAGTCCTAAGTATGTGTGATACTTAACAAAAGGGATTTTTTCGCAGGAACAAGTATACATTATATTGTGCAGACAAAGATGATTATGAGCAATAATGCTTACTGGTATAATATTCTTGATATGACTAGAATGAGTGTTAGTACCTTAGTTTTTTGTATATTCATTACAACTCCTAGATCGTGAGCCCACATAGAGAGGCGTGAAAAATCATCTTGTAATTTTTGCATGGCGATATACACATTTTTATCTTCTGACAGAAGGCACGTATCATCTGCATATTGGTATAAACTACACTTTTTAATGATATTTTCTATCGTATGTTAAGTAATGGAGTGGCCCTATAACTGAGCCTTGTGCCGTACCTGTAGTCATAGGCATGTTAATACTTAAATTATTTTCTATCTTTACTTGGAAATATCGACTGCTAACATAATCTTTACACCATCTTAAGAAACGTCCTCTTACACCAGAGTTTTCGAGTTTTCTTATAAGAATGTTATGTTTCAAGGTATCGAAGGCTTTACTAAAATCGATGAATGCAATTAATACATGTTTTTTCTCATCTAAGTATTTGTTTACTTCGTCTGTAAAGTTTGACAGTAACTGTGTAGTAGATTTCTTAGGCTGAAAGCCGTATTGAGATGCCGAAATAATTTTATGTTTTTGATAAAAGTTGTGAAGCTGGTTGGAAATGAATTTTTCTATAATTTTGTCAATTGTTCGAAGTATAGTAATAGGCCTGTAATTACTGTAATCGTCATGATGTCCACTTTGGTAAATAGGCCGTACCAAACCTAGCTTTAGATCTGTAGAATAAATACCTGTTTCTATACTACTATTAATTAACATGACAATTACTTTAGCAATTTTTTCTGATATGGCTTTTATGTCAATTGTACGAATTCCATCAGCACCTGGTGCCTTTTTTGTGTTAAGTGTTTTTATTATATTATTTATTTGCTTTTTTGAAACCGTATAGACTTATCTACTGGATTTGTGTACAAATCATCTGATAGCATTTTAATGGTACATTTTGGTATTATATTTTTTAAGTTTCTATCGAACTCAGTAGCAAAATTATCAGCAATCGTTTTACTATTTTGACTTTTGAAGTTAAATGCTTTATTTAACGATTCATCTAGTGTTTCGGTAACTTTGCCACAAAGTTTGTTTACAATTTTCCAAGTATATCTTGGGTTAGACATATTGTTATTGATTTTTTTAATAATAGTAATTATTTCTGGTTTTTTCAATAAATTTAATTGTTTTATTTCTATATTTATTATATTCTAGTGTTAGAAGTTTATTATTTGAGTCATTTTTCCATTTAGTAAACAAATTATCTCTAATTTTACACATATTTATGATGTCTTCATTTATCCAATTCTCTTTATTTCGTTTGCTACTTTGTTTTTTTTATTATCTGACATTTACTGTAGCATTCCATAAAATTAGTTTTTATAAAATTGTTTATATTAATAGGACATTGCATATTATTAACCGGTGACCAGTCTATTTCATTCAGCATTCTATGAAGTTTTTTGTTGTCATATAAAATAATATTTTCAAATTCATCCCGTTTGTACGAAACATGTAAAACGCATGTTAGCACGGTCATGCGATGATCGGCTAATACAGTACCAATAGCGCCCGAGTACAGGTCTAACGTACGTGATCGCACAAAGATATGATCTATACAACTTTTAGTTATTTTGTCTTTTCTTTTTTTCTATTCTAGTGTAATCTGTTACCGCACACGTTAGACCGCACTCGGCCATTTTACTAAGATAATATTCTTGAATAGGTGTAACATCTTTAATATTGATATTCATATCATCCAATATGATTAAGTTATGTTTTTTAGCGAAATTATCTTTTAATATGTGACACAACTCCTCAATAAACAAGTGTTTGTTTTCATTCGGTGGTCTATATATTATACAAAGATGGAATGTTTGCAAATTATTTTGGGTGGTGATTTTGCTTATGAGTGATTCAAAGTGTAAAGTTTTGATATTTATAATTTCAAACTTATGTTTCTTACGTACATAAATAATTATCTCACCCCCCTTTCTTTTAGCTCTTAAGATACTATGCATTGAATAGCCATCGATATGAAACATAGATAGTAGGTTATTAGATATGTTGGCTTCTGTTATGGCAATGCAGTCTAAATTAATTTTACTAGAATTTATACATTCCTTTAGCATTGCAAAGTTTTTTATGATAGATCTTAGGTTGATATGAATAAAAGTGAAACTTTGTTTACCTTTAGGTATAAGTTTGTAGAAATCATTTAAATTTATAACAGTCGTTTATTTTTGTGAGAAAATCCACTATGTTTGTTGTTATTATAACTTATAAGTATAATTATGCTGCGTTTTACCCTTAACTAACTACTTCCGTTTTTTCTGTATTTTGGGACTGAATAGTGGTTTTTTTTGCTAGTTTTTGGATGTCTTCGATGCACCTAGTGGTTATGATCTTGTCTTTGTCTCCTTTTCGCGCGAAAATGTTTCCATTTTTAAACACTATGTACTTGTATTCGGAATCTAATTGTTTTTTGCATTCCACAAGATTATCTTATTTGCCTTTGTGAGTGCGCGTCTTAACATAATTCTATCTTTACCCTCATCATATATCATTGGCGCATTCGGAAGAATATAATTATTTTTTAACATCTTCATTTTTTCGGCTTGGATCCATTTCTCACTCTCTGTTTCATCACTTAGTTCTAGTAGCAGATATCCATCCTTTCCTTTTCTTCCTTCTATCTGTTTTATGCTTTTAACTGAATTTGCATCCATATCTAATTTGGATGCTAATATTTTAATTACTTAATGATGATTAATGTTATCTATATCCGATATACCAGTTAGTTCAATTTTGTTACTGTATTGTTTTTGTTATAATTCTCCTATTTTTGGTTCTAAAACACTTATTCTTATTTCCAAATTATTATTTTTGTTGTTTAATGTTATATTCTTAGTTTCTAATTCTATAATTCTACGTTTTAGAACATCCACATTGTGGAGCACCTCATCTATTTTGTCGTGACAGTAACTTATAGAAGATTCGATTGGCTCAATTTCGCGCTTTATAGTGACTCCAACTTCCTTTGAAATATCCTTCAGTAACTTTTTAATGTCTATTGATGGCTTAGAATACGAATGATCTTGAGTTTGTTCATTTTGTTCTACTTTTTCTTCTTCTGGGATAATATACGATTTTCTTACCGGTTTGAAACGTTGACAATCCCTGCATGTCCATTCCAGGCTATCTGCGTTGCGTAATGCTGCAATCTGTTCAGTCGAAAGATTAGTACATGCCTGGGTCGCGTGCACAATTTTTTCGCATTTGCTGCATTCTAATCCAGGTGTTCTTTTAGCTATCGGTTTTTCACAACGATCACATTTATTCATTGTAATGTCGGTACAAGGATTTACCACACGTCCGATTACACTCTATCGAGCAAACTAACGTGACGTCGTACGAACTCGTTAAACATGTTAAGTATGCCAAAACACAAAACAACGCGGTACAGAGGATGTTTCAAATTTGTTGCATCAAGGATATGGAACGATTTGCCCCTTCCTATGAGAAATAAAATGAGTACGGAAAGCTTCAAAGCTAAATATAAATCAGCATTGCTGAAGCGGCAAATTGCTGCAGAAAACGTGAAACATACCTACTGGAAATACATAAACTTAAGAGACTTTTTTGACATTATGATATAACCCTTATAAAACATCTCCCTGTATTATAAACAATCACGCACCACACGCACGCTTGCACGCACACACACACACACACACACACACACACACACACACACACACGTTTGTTTTTATAATTTTATATATATATATATATATATATATATATATATATATATATTATAAAAATTAAATTACAAGAGAAGCGAATTACAAGAAAAGCAATAAAATTATTTCGCACTCTGAAATCGGTGCTAAGGTAGATAGGCATGCAATATTTTGCTTTTGATTTTGTAGTTATGTTCCGCTGCGATTCATTTTCCTTTTGTTCCATAATCTGAGGTTTGTACGTTCATGTGTACAAATCATGGTATCGACTCGAAACCAATTTTATACGTAATAAAATCGTAAGCACCTGATAAATTTTCTATTAAAATTGATTCTGTAATTAATCGTTTAAACAAAAAAAAAGGTTATAATTAGTCACCTTAAAATAGGAAGTTGATAGTGACGGCAGATGGAATACCTAGTTTTTATTAAACTGTATTTACTATTTTATTATGTATTTTTGTATGCATGTCTTTGGAGTTCGAAGCTGATTTTTTTTATTTAACCTTTTTACAACAGGAACGTGAATCTGAAGATCTGTCTACCAGTTCGATTTTCGGTAGCGCTAAAGCCTCGCAAGAGGCAGACAATGTTCTAATAATTCAGGTGAGTTAAATTAAAACTTTTGTATTATTTAAAATGATTGACTAATAAACATAAACCATGTATTGGTGGTTGCTTTAATAGCTTTGATTGAAACCCCAAAAAAATGTGGCCCTTATATTATTATCTTGATAATTGAGTCACCACAGCAAATAACTAGCTAGCTTTTGATGATAATATATTCATTAAGGAAATGTTATTAATGTACTATATTATCGTATATTAATTTGTCATAATGGTCTCGCCAGTGGCGTAGCAAGGGGGGGGGGGCGGGGGCGGTCCGCCCAGGGTGTCACCTTTTTGGGGTGACACCCACCCGGTCTCTCAACTTTAAGAACAATGTACAAAGCAAAAATAAATAAATCGCTAGCACAAAAATTTCTTTTTCGGGGATTCCTCCACTGGCACTAGCTCAGCTCTATGTATAATTCGGGGATTCCCGCAAAGGAGCCTCACGCTCTCGAAGTCTCTTCAAGATGTAGCTTCATTGTTCGAGATCGTACAAACTAATGTTTTGCTTCTGGCGAATACTGAAGAACTGAAATTAGCTACATCTAAATTTACGTATTTTTATGACGATGTCTCAGAAACCGAATTACTTTTGGTGATACCAAGACTGCGAAGACAACAAGCCGCTAATGTTACGGTTATTGATTACCCAATCAGTAACTGTAACATTAGCGGCTCTAGATTTTTTAAAGTTTATTATAGTATTTTTTAATGTTATTATATGTAGATTTCACTGAAATTGTTCATGATGGTTTGCGTGTCCGTAGCTTCATATGAGAGGAGTTTCAGTAAATTAAAATTAATAAAAAACTATTTGCGGACAACAATGACCCAATAGCGGTCCAATCTTGGTATATTAGCCATCGAACACGAGGCAATACAAAATATAAATTTCGTTATTGCTGAGTTTGCAGCTGTCAAAGCTAGAAAGAAGAAATTTTGTATAACAATTCCCTTTCTGTCTTAGTTATTATTGTGTTTTGTTATTTCTTCAATATTACAAATAATAAATGATCCATGTCTTTATCATATAAAATTTATTGCTTTTTACTTTCGATGGGGTGACACCACCAACTTCCCAAGGTAGCTACGCCACTGGGTCTCGCACGTAATCTCATTTCGTTCTTTGAGCGCTATTAGAGGCGATTGTAGTGCCAGAAAGATCTCATGGCTTCCGACAGATGGCGTTGAAATGACCGCGTATGGTTAAAAATGCAGTTTTGCATATATACAAAACGTTTTGCATATTTAACCATGCTGGGCAGCAGAATATGCAAAACGTTTTATAATGTGTTCACAAATTGGGCTGACAAGTGTGGATTTTAATGCAAATCCTCACCACAACGGAAGAGATCCAGCAGTAACCTTTCACGGGCGCTGAATAAAATTAATGAATGGTCTCTATGATTTATTTTAAATTATTTGTTGACAGGACAAACGGTTGACAGCTGTGCGCGGTAAAAAGTACCTGCAAGTTGCCAAGAACCGTTACAGTGGAGATCTCGGCATAGTTCCTTTAGACTTCGAAAAGGACTCTCTCAGTTATCAGTCAAAGAAAAAGAATAAAACAAAAGAAGACCCCGACAAGCTGCTAGACCAATATTTTGAGGCTTACTCAATTAATGATCAAAATTATGATATAAGTGAAACCAACAAAAGTAATGAAATAAACAAATCTCAAAATAAAAAACAAAGTGCCACTACATATTTAAGTGGTATTTTAAATTTGAATAGAACCAGTTAAGTGTAATTTATTTATGTCAAGTATTAAAGTCACTTTATTACAAGTATATGTTTATAATTTTTAATAATTAAAACTATTTAATTTTGTAAAGACTGTTATGTATAACAAGTAGTACATAATACATTCTTATTACAGTTAACTGTGTAACTCAGAGATGTATGCTAAGTTAAATACAGCAGACCCTAAGCCACGGTTCGATCTACTAGCCGAGGTCTGGGTGTCTTGAGGTAGGACAGTACTAGACGGAACTGCACCGTAGCGGAACTAAGCGACACGATACGTCTAAATCCTATACCTTTAAACGAGCAATTCTTGTATATATATATATATATAGGTAAGGCCGTTAAATTGGCCTCATGTAACATAAAAGTATAAGTTACCAGGTAACTTAAAAGTAACATAAAATATTCTAAAGGCATATCTACAATAGGGAATCATCACAGAATTTGAGAAAATTTAATATATTCAATTTTTTCACTTCCGCTTTAGTAAAACTCAGTTTAATTTTTATCAGCTTTATTGTATCTGTAATTAAAATATAAACGTCTTATTTTGAAAAAAAATTACCTTTAGTCCTATCTTTAATAATACTTAGACATAAAAATATTTGTTTCACAACTGAAAATATATCGTTAAAATAATGTACTACTTAATTTTTATTTGAACTCTTGGTATTTTATGGCACTATACCTTCCTAAAACCTAATAAATGAAAATAAATTCAAACTTAAACACAGATTAATAAAAGTAACAAATGTCAAAACTATCTCTTAGCAGATATTCGTTTTTTTTTATAATTTGTAACCAATTCTATAGCTTTTACAATCGACACAGAAGGAACAATGTCTCGGTCTAGTTTCTTCGTCACAACGAATTTCAGTGAAGGGTGTTTTACAGTCTTTAGGAAATTAACTGTATATTTATCTTCTGTAATATTTATTTGTTCTACACGTCATATATAGTATTTCCAATTGTCACGATTATAGTATCTTACTAATAGATTTTGGTTTATTTTAATATCTTTTATATTTGTTTCATCTTTGTATTCTAAGTCATCAGTATTTTCGTTTTTGTTAGCTTTTACAGTTATATTTAAATTCGGTTTACAGCTTTCTTCAGTCTTTAGTTTTTTGTTCTCATAGATTTTTAAACTATCCGAATCTACCCCCATTTCTATTTTCTTAAGGTCTTTGTCAATTTTGTCGAATCTGACTACAGAATTTTCTTTTGAATTCAAAAGATATTCCTTTATTTCACATTTGTCAGATTTTCTGATTATATTAGAGTCACATATTTGTTTATTCTGCCTAACTTTTGGTACCTTTAAATTTTTAAGACTACTATTTTTATTAATTCCAGAAGTGCTTGCTATCGAGTTTGTGTATGGATCAGCATTCTCTGTTATTGTGACATCTAATGATTTTTTGGCAGAAAAAAAGATCAAAGTTGGAATCCAATTTATGAAATTGTAGTTTATTAAATTGTTTTAAGTCAAAATATCTTTTGTTACATGGTAAATTTCGGATTTCTGATAATATTGTGACTCCTTTTTGCACAGCCGACTTTCTCTCCTGTTTTTCTTCTAAAACACTGTCTTTGAATATTTCTTTTTCTACATCCAAATATTCTTCCCCTAAATATTCTGCTTCAGAACTAGGCTCAGAAAAATGTGTGGCATCACTGTCGTCTAAATATTCTATTTAAAACTTTCGGCGCTGCTGGTTGATGATGAACTATTTCTCCTTTTCTTTATTTTCCCTTCATCCTTTTTCGTTGTTAAGTTTTTCCGTGTTCTGCTTTTCGTTAGTTTTTCGTTGCTAACTTCAAATCTGTGTGTTTTTATAGAATGACAATCACATCTACCACTCATATTTTTGCAAAAGCAACTTAAATCTCGAAAGCTTACTGAATTTCTTTCATTTAATATTACTTGATGTATTTTAAGTGTGTTAGGCAGCGGAAGTAGTTTTTTTAACTATTTCTTCTGGAAGTCGTTTTATGTCTTCTGAAGGAATATAAAACATTTTGATGGCTGAATCTGCTTTGGAAAGAACTTTAAAGGCAGTTTTGGCGTCGGGGATATCTTCTCCATGTGCCACTTTTGAGTCCAAAGTTCGCTTCACTGCACCCCCAATACCGTCTGCAGCGCCTTTTCCATGAGCTGCTTCAAATATAGACCAAGTAGCATGGTTGAAGCCAAAACATTGAATTTGGCTAAGAAAATAAAAATTATTTTTGTTGCGGTATTGGGATGTAGGGCCATCGGAAAAAAAGTGTATTGTATCTACTTGACGATATGTTTCTTTCAAATATTGTAGTATTGGTTTTAAATGAGTCCATATGGCCTCGGGAGTATGTATATTGCCTGGAGATATCGAGCAAAATGATTTAGGTTTGTTTTCATTTTTTATGTAAAGTACACCAGTGTGCAGAGTGATTTGTACCTTAGATGATCCGAAGTGCATGGCTTGTATTTCTGTATGCATCTTGCAAACATAATTTTCAGAAAAATCTATGTGAATGACGGTTTCGTTTTCTCTCAAGTTAGCTATGCAAAATTTATAATTTTTGAATTGATGTGAAATATTGTATAAGTGATGTAGAATTTTTTTTATATCTGAATTAGTTAAATTGATCAAGTCTTATAGATCCTTCTCTTTCCGCCTTTACCATTTTGTTTGTCGTCCTTTTGTTTCCTTCTTCGCCGTACTCATATTTCTTTGGCATACACATTGGCCATACAATTTTATCATTTACATTGTAATCTATTTCATTAGCAGTAATGATATTGTCTTTACAAGATTGACACAAACCAAACATGCAAGTCTTAGATGATATTTCACAAACCAGTTTCGATGTAACATAATTGAGGTCATCGCTTTCGAGGATTTCCAACTGCTTAAGTTTCTTTATCATAAATGCCATATTAGAGTGTTTTACACAAGCACATGTGTCACGGTCTGAGATTTTAGGTGTGAGTATATTAAATGGTCTATATTTTTTAAATGTGCTTAATGAGACTTTTCCACCTTCAGAAAGATATTTTTCATGCAGTTTTTTTATAGTAGCCAATGGATATCTTCTCTGTAATTTTATTTTGTTTTTAGTTTTACACACTCTTTTTCCTGCAGTTGCACGGCTTTTATCATCTCTGTTATAAAATTTCGTTTAATATTTCGCTTTTCCTTACTTTTCTGTCTCTATTGTTTCTAATGTTAGTTTTGAGTCCTAATGTATGTTTAAATTTATTTTTCAATTTATATTTTTTTAACAATTTCGCTAGTTACAATTTTTTTCAAAGTGTTCTTTTCCGTTCCAACAGATTTTTTGTATTCCTCCTTCAGTGATTTTGTCAAATCATTGTGTTCCAGTAGCTTCCTTTTTACTATCTGTTTTTTCGAGGCGTCAATATGCGTTAAATTCTCTTTTCTGAAGTTATCTGCTTGCTTCGTAGGTGTATCATCGTCATTGCCCATCACTTCAACTCTTCCATTTTTCGTACAGTCATGTTCTTTAAGTTTTGTAGTGATTTGTTGATATTTTTCTTTAATTTCTTGGAATGCTTTATTTAATTCGTCAATTTTTTTCGACTTTCGGTAATGTTTTTTTCTTAAGGCTTCAAATCTCTTGCGTAATGTTATTATTTCTCTTTTCAGTTCATGATTTTCCTTACGAAGCTTAGATTCTGCATGCATTTTTTCTTTCTTTATCATACTGAGCTTTTTTTAAGTTTTTCCTTTCGTCTCCCATTTTTGCCTTTTTTCTTCTTTATCCTGTTCCGTATATTGACTTGTTTTTTTTTTCTATAATAACGCAAAGCGCATTCCGCAGTTTTCTTTTTCATTTGTACATATTTCTCTGGGTTTTCTCTTTTAAATTTTTCGCGGTATCTTTTTTGTTTTTGGGCCGCAGTTAGAGGCATCTGTTACAGAAAAAAACAACATTTTAAGCATCATGTATCATACTTATTTCACTAATAATATGATGTATTAATTCCTTGTAAAATTCTATATCTTATACAAAAAAGTTTTATGCATAAAATATAGCCTAAACCCCCTCCTGACATTGCTTTTGTCTGTTTGTAGAGATTTATCCCAATTAGTTCAGCCATTTAAAAGATTAGCCTGGACAGACAGACAACAGACAAAAATATATACATATACAATATGTAACGTATTTAACGCACACCCTCAGACACCCCAATTAGTATATTATGTTATAATCATAATACATACACTGAATTTTTAATTAAACATTTTTATGCACTGGTTATTTATCAAATTAGTTATACTAATTCCGGAAGAATGTTGTGGTCACAGTACAAATCCACGAACGCAAAGACTAATGTGTTTGAAATAAAGTTCATTTTTCTTTATTTTTATTGAATGACAGAATTAGTAATAATACAAATAAAACTGCACTCTTAAAAGTCTTATTGCCTTAAGTTACGGTCCATTTCAGTTTGTTTTGACTGTACAGATTTAGTGTGACTGTAATTTACGTAGTTTTAATTATTTTTTGTATAAAAAATTACCTATATTAAAAATGATAGGAATCGATTCAGTAAACGATTCGGAACAAACTACTTTCTCAAAGTGCGTTAATTATGTTACGTGTTGTGTGTATATATATATATATATATACAACACAATATCCATAGAGATAAAAGATATCTGCGTATTCCTCGTTGGAAAATGATTGCCTTGCATCATCTCCGCGTCTTGGTGGTTCCGTCGCCATAAAACTTTGAAACTCAACTTCTTTAAGTGTAACAGGGAGGGATATGCGTGCGTGTGTACGATGCCTGTAATACTGATGACTGATTGAACAGTTTCTTCTTGTTTAACTTGTTTCTAATTTCACACTAAATGTAAACAATAGCGTAAGTTCAAACGCACAATCTTTTACGAGCATTCCCGCAGCTGTTGATAAGGTTCCGAGAAGCGATTGTTTGGGATTACCCAAAACATTGCTACTCGGAACTTGTCTACCTGGCCCCTTTTTTTCAAGATTTTTTTGTACTATTTAAGTTACAAGCTAAATTGATACTTCGTTGGGTAGCTAGATAAGTAGGGATGTTTTTAAAATGTTGGTCACATACAATTATTTTTCACAAAATCATTTTTATTTTTAATTACTTATCTTCTGTTTGGAAAAAGTTGTACTTTTAGTAGCGTTACTTCGAAAATGATGAGACTTTTTGCACACTGTAGTATTGATAAATAAGTATCCAGGTTTTCATTAAGTAAAAATAATAAAATGAAAATAATACAGCTGTAAGTTTTTTTTAGAAATTTTTGACACCAGACTTTTGGGATTTTTGAAAAAAATAATTAAACCTAAATATCTCGAAATTGGTCCACATTTGCATAATGCATTTTATGGTTCATTTGATAGGTTATGACCCCAACTATCACGGCTTGGCGGGAATACGTCGAGTTACCAGTAACTGTATATAATCGGAATCTCGGAAACGGCTCCAACGATTTTCATAAAATTTAGTGTCCAGGGAGTTTCGGGGGCAAAAATCGATCTAGATATATATAGATAGATCTTTATTTTTAGAAAATGTCTTTTTGGCCGCGTTTTCAGGCAGTGAAAAATAACATACTACAACATAAGGAGATAAATTTTGACAATGTGTTAATGATCGTAATAGCTCAAAAGGATATCGAGCGGTCGCGAAATCGTAATGCCTTGGTTATCGCGTCCTGTCTTCGGTCCGATTTTTTTTCCTTTTTTTTTTCAAGTTCCCTTCTTTTGTGAGAAAATCTATTATTTCGAGCCCTTTTTTAGTATTTTTTAAAAAATACGAAAATTTTAATTAAACTAATTGCACTTATGATTTTTTATTCAAATAACCAGTTCAGTTTTTTCTATTATGTCAATAAGATCAAAAAATATTATTCATGTTTCATCAGTATGTAATTTGTATCTAAATGTAATTTCAAAAAGAACCGAGCAAAGCTCGGTCATCCAGGTACTGTTCTTTATATGAAATTATATTAGACAACACGCACTAAGCGGCAACGGCAACCTTACAGCAGTGACGAAACTAGAGCTCCAAACTAGGGCAAGCCCAAGATATAAATTGATAAAAATATAGATTGTTGTTTTTAGCAGTTTTATAAAAATACACCAATCTTGATCTGTCTCCACGCTTCAGTTTCATATTCAGTGCTGTCAAGGACGTGTTTAACAAAGCACACAGAAGGCATACCACTCCTAGATAGATTGTATTACATATCAGCAATTGCATATCTTCGGCACGGTAATATTATCTATACAGTATTGTAACTCGGCCGTATCTTTGAAATAAATGCCTACAACCGCGCGGTACGTAAACATGCGATAGGGCTGCCTGCCTCCAGCATTTTTACATTTGCCTACTTTGTGTTTCCATTTAGTTTTATGATTGTAAATACACTTTTTTTATATAAACAAATATAATAGGTACTTTGTGAATTGAATAGGAAGTGTTCAATAAAAATGCGTGTCTTTTTTGATTGGTAGATTTAATTAAAAACACATGTTTATGTTTGACTAATAAATCGGTCTTATAAATTTGCAACGAAAAATATTTGCGCCTCGGTTGAGACACGTACGAAATGCTTTATTATTAAAATTTTAAGTATAAAAAATCCGCATTCTAATATAAAGCTTAATTAAAAATTGTTTTGGGAAACATGGACAAGGTGGAGAAAAGGAATATCTTTTACTTGGTTATAGATACCTGCAACTATTTTACAATTTATATGTTTGGTTTTAAATGAAGTTCGGATTTATTATTTCTTTATTTCTATTCTATTATTTATTTCCTCATTATATATATATATATATATATATATATATATATATATATATATATATATATATATATATATATATATATATATATATATATTCCACAAAATCATCACTGCGGCAGTCACGATTGTCTGCATGCCGAGATCGAGGCGCGTAGCCATAGCTCTCGCTTCGTCCGTTTGTATGGAGTTGGAATACTGTATAGATAAAATTACCGTGGCTTCGGTGGCTTTGAAGAAAGTCGTTTTGTTTAAGCGAAAGAAAAAAAATTTACATCCAATACAATACATGAACAAAAGTAAAACACGAACAAAGTAAGAACAAACTATGTACAAAATTAAAAAAAATATATTTACATTCTAATGGATAAGAGATAAGTTAAGATAAGTGGAATCGTCTCGCTTTCTTATGGAAAGATTTAATTACGTCCACGTAAAATGTTGGTGAACGTTTTAATTGTACCAATAACTGTTTTTAATTGCGATAATTTCTTAAGTCTAAAATACACTCTTAATCTTGTGTTATCTCAACAAAGTTTAAAGATTTCCTCTCCGATTATCACTTTAACACACTTCAATTCATCCATCTCAAGGAACACTATTATCCTCAATTTTCATTAAAAATCTTTAAAAAAGCATAAATTTTGAACTCGTAATATTAAATCGCATAAGATAAGCACACATAGTAAATAAACATTGAAACGTGAAATGAACTTGCAAACGTATTGCCCCCGCGCCTCCGCTTTTAACAAATTATTGCCAAAATCCTGGCTTTAAATCTCTATACTAATTGCTATATATACAATCGTAGTTATATTTCATTATAGAAATAATATTTTGCCATAGGTTAGAAAGAGAGCGATCGTCTTCTCGAAAGCCCCGTAAAAAGCCCACGCGAGCGAGGGAGACAACTATTAGCTCTATTAAAACTCATTTTTTATGACAGCAGCAGTATCGCTAAGGCAATACGAGGTCATCGGTCGACATGTGTCGAACAGTGGAGTGCGCGGGAAATTTGAAATAGCTTGAAACATTTTACGAGTTATTTTATTAGTTGATATTATTGATTGATTCAGGTTTAATAAGGCAAGCCCGGCTTTTCGGCTTTAATGGAAGCTTCGCCACTGCCTTACAGTCACATTATTGTGGCAGCACGATATTGGGTCAACTCGACCAGGAAAGGACTACGTTCTCATAGAATTGTAAGGGGTCCCATGGTAAAATACAAGTGTGTTCATTAAACTGTCTCGTTTTTTTCTGAGATACATCTCAGTGTGTGACGTATTTGGGTATAGCATACGCGCCAAAAGGTCTCTGCTTGTGCCAGCGTCGTGACGGGTCGTCTACTTCCCTCTAATATGGTCGAGAAGTAAAAAGCTATAAGGCTAAATATATTTCATTATATTTCTCACAGGATACCAGCCAGAATTCTAGCATAAAATAGAATTACAATGCTGCTGTGTATCGTATTGTAACGAGAAACGGAGAATCTTTTAAGTATACCTAGTTGCATTCCATCTTAGTTCTCAAGGGTGACAACGTATCTACATTTTGATTCTAAATATAAGTAAAAATTAATGTTTCTCTAAGGGCAATTAAACTTTTTAGATTTTTTTTAATAATATAAGAAAAATTGTGTCTATTTCGGTATACTTAGAGTATATAGTTTATGAATGTTAACTGATATGGTAATAAGACTTGATTTCTTTATTAATTTGCTGTGAGCAATGAACTACTAAAACGTTGACTGCATTGCTCATTCGCAATAAAGCTAGTGAAGCTGACCGTAGCTGAGCAGCTAGCCCCATAGAATACTATAATACATACATAATAGAACGGGGAGTGGGCGGAGCCCGTGTAGCCACTAAAATGTCACTAACACGTCAATTCACACGCAAAAATGTCAACACGAGATGTGTTTTGACGTTACAATCGTTTCCAAATTTCGCATGCAAATTATTTAGAAAATGCCAAATTGCACGCTATTTACAAATGAATATGTATTAAAATCTGTCTGTCAACACAGCGAATCGGGTTTGTAGTAGTGATTAACTGATAATACGACGTAATTGCTTCTATGTGTGCTCCCGGCGACGCCGAATCTCATACAAAATAAGGTTGACAGCCATTCTATTGTGTATTATACTATTCTATGAGCTAGCCTAACGGTAAAATTCACGCTCACTGTGTGTAGCGTCTCTCCCAATGCTTTATTAATTGCCATGACAAAGCACGCGCTGACAAGAAATATTTTAAGTAGAAAATCAAATCGATGGGTAGAATTAGAGGAATAAAGACAACACATTACGTTAGGATAAAGTCGGGTGTCGTTGCATTACTTTACTAAGCTCAGGTTTCTCAATTTTCAAAAGAGTAGCCAAATTTTAAACTTAAATTCAAATATATAAATAATGATATACCGAAACGAGTAAATAAGGTTTCTACTTTTATTTTATGAAATTATCCCAAATTGAATGTGATTTATGGGCAACAATGTTTTTGTCTACCGATCGACCCTTACGAATTGTGCGTGCGCAATAAATCATACATTACCACGCATTTTGAATTTAAAACATAAAAAGGACAATGTTTGAGATTTTTTCAAATTTAATTTTTCTTTACCATTTGCCTATATTACTTATTCCTTTTTTATAGAAGAGGGGGCAAAAGATCATGCGGTTCACCTGATGGTAAGTGACTACTGCCGCCCATGAACAACCCCAACACCATGAGAATTGCAGGTGCGTTGCCAGCTTTTTAGAAAAGAGTAAGCTCTTTTCTTGCAGGCCCCTCAGTCGTATCGGTTCGAAAAAATCGCCGGTCGTAAATAAATCCACAGAGAAGTTGTACGAAAGAAAAAACTCGTATAGTAAAACGCACAGTGGTGGAGCGCCAAGCATCCACATGGTAAGGATGGTATCATGAATTTTACCGGTATGTGTGTTCGTCAAATTTGGCGGCTGGAATTAATTCGAACAATTCCTCAGAGCACTCCCGTGGAAGATGCGATAGAAATTGCAAAGGGATGCAACATCTCTACGCAGCGCTAGCGATCTGTAAGAACTCGTCGACGACGCGGTCAAGTGGAAGGAGCTGGCACTGAGGTGCCCCGGCTCAGAGATGAGAACATTATTGCATGTGAAGCCGAACTTGCACTTTGTAAAGTTGCAAGAGATGTGCTGGCGTGAAATACTAAACCTTTTCTGCAAATTTGACTGGTTATTGCAAAATAACCCTGTAGAATCACATCGGCTTTTAAAATTTTGTGGTTTGTGTTGTCAATGAGATGGTGGCAGTTCGGGTAGACAAAGCATTTGAATATTCGAAAGTCGACAGCTTTTGCCCGCAAGTCGATATACCGCATCGCTTCTCTCTACGGTCACAATAAATAATACTAGCTAGTAGTAATCAGAAAGTAACCCACTTACCGACGTCCGGCGGTCAAGCGTGATCTCGTGTTATAGCACGCGAAATCACCGCGAGGAGGATATTACACCCATTTTCAAATAGTGTTTTAAATTAATCCTTTAGTGATAATGAACCAGTATAATTTATTATATATATATATATATATATACAATATGTAACAAAACCCCTGTGGTTCCCGTTAAGTGTGTAATCAGAATCAGTATCCAAGCATATAGAAATATTTTTTTTCACGCATCTGCATCTTGATTTTTAATTGAGATTAGATGTAGATGTGTCTTCCACTTATCATATCAAGTGTGAACTGTGTATTCGTTACTCATCCTTACCTTTAAAATAATCTAATACCTTTAAACCAGCAATTCTTGTATATATATATATATATATATATATATATATATATATATATATATATATATATATATATATATATATATATATATATATATATATATATATATATATATAAACGGAAACGGCTCCAACGATTTTCATAAAATTTTGTGTCCAGGGAGTTTCGGGGGCAATAAATCGATCTAGCTAGGATTCGTTTTTAGGAAATGTCTCCGTGTCAGTATCTCGTGTGTTGAGGCAATGAAAAACTACTACAATATCATTAGAATACAAAGATAAATTTTTCATGGTTATAATAGCTCAAATGGGATATCGGGCAGTCCCGAATATGAAGTACCCCGGTTCGAGTCCGAGAGAGATGTCTTAGGTCCGACATTTTTTCCTTTTTTTTCAAGTTCCCTTTTGTGAGGAAATCCATTATTTCGAGGCCTTTTTTTAATATTTTTTTAAAACGAAAAATTAGATTAAACTAATTGCACTTGCTAGATTAAGGATAATTTTAGAATTAAATTTTAGTTACGATTAATAAATACTTAATCCATTTGTAAATTAATTTTATGTTTTAAGAATTGTTAATTTGTTACTATTTCCATGCTATTTCCGGTTTCTAATGTATGATAAGTATATTATAATAAATGTATTAAAATAGCCTAAAAATGTTTATTTGGATGTTAAAAATATATTTCATATTTTTGAATGTGTATGAGTAAGGATTTTAGTTCCTTTATCTTATTACTTATATGTGTTATTGTTGATTTTATTTAATGGTTAATAATTTTTATAATTTGATTGTTAATATTTAGATGTGTTGAGAATTGTTCAATTGTAAAAAAATAAAAGCGACATTGGCGTTAACCCTTTATGGGGCTCTGTCGATATATTCGACACCATACTTTTTATTGATTTATTTTTAAACTGCTAGCAGTTTGGTACTGCGATAGTCTGTATTCGATTCGGACAGGTCATAGCAAAAACGAAACGCAAAAAGAAAAAAAAAGTATGGCTGACATTGACAGCTGATGACATCTTATGTCATTATTTGGCTGTTTTCCACAGAGTACTTCACAGAGTACTTTCTAATATACTGAAATAGAGAGGAATCTCAAGCACAAAAATGAATTCTAGAATGTGCTGCCGTCTGGTGGTGTCAGATGAAACAATTTTTTATTATCATATAGCTATACTATACAGGCACCTAGTATATATAGCTACTATAGTTTTCTATATTCGTTTCTATATTTTTTTTTAGTTTTACTTATTGTAAGAAATTTATTTATGTGTACAATTTCTTACAATAAGTATTATAGATTCTGATGTAAAAATAAAAACACATATCAGAAAGAAAAATGCATTTATTGAATAAAACGTCTTTTTTTACACTTGTGGAAATATTTTTTGGCTTTCATTTGAAATATATCATCATTATCATCACAGTCTCTTTTCCCACTGAGTATCTTATTTATATTTTTGACATAATTGAATATGAAAAAGCGGCAAGACAAATTTAATAAGTAATCAATTATTTTATTTTTATGTAAATTACATTGCAGAAATTCAAAATCTACATAAATTAATATCAAAGTTTTTATTAATTCTTTAATATTGTCTTTAGTTAAATAGTTTTTTAAAACTGAATTTGCTATGTCTTGCACTGCAGATACACATACTATAAGTGACTCAGTGGGACTGCAAAGCCACCGTTTACCTGCATATTCCCGGAATTTAATCACTTCATTTTCTTGTAAGGCGATTATGTTAGCAGTACATTCGCTACAGTTTTTAAAAATATTTTTTTTAGCACATCTGGCAAAGTATCCACTAACATAATCTAGTGCCCCCCTTTATATGTGGAGCACTTTTCTCTTCAATATTTATTATTTCTACATCCGGGATTGTTTCAAGGTCACAGGCTGTAGCAGCTTTGCAGTTATCTGTGATGATAAGAGATTCTAAAGCCTTACAAGTGTCTTTTTCACAATTAGCACCTGGGGCATGGACACTGGACATATTGTTAATTAAAAGTGTAGTGTAGGCACTCTGAAATTGTTCTGGTGTTGGATTAACATTGCGGCACCCATGACTTCTAATGGCCCCGAAAAAGTTTTCAATTGGGTCTTGGTTGAGGTGCCGCATCCAAACTGAAGTAATACCATACTCAGTTTCCATTTTTTTTTAAAAGAATTTGTATACCATTCAGTGTCCATACCCAATTTTTGATTGTTGGTACATTTTCAGCACTATTTGACGTTTTATTTATAAATTTCATATTATTTAACATAGCTTTAGCTTCATTCCACATCCTATGATGTTCAGAGTTTGGTTTTGCTGGTCCAAGAAGAGGCTTTCCATATCGTTTTTTTTCTTTACTGTAACTCCCATTGACGGAATCAAATACTTTGTCAAAGAAGAGGAGTACTTCAGCAGTTTCCTCACATTCTTTGGGAAGAATGCCTTTTTCTGTAAAACAAAAAGAATTAATCTATTAGTAAACACTAGTATTATCAGAGCATAGCAAGGTTTTGTGACATTTTTCTTTTCGTCCAACAGTAAACTTAATAGGCCAATTAAAGTGTACTGCTGGACTTGAAACTGTCATGCTTGGCAGGTGGGTAATCGTAGTTTTAGACGTGAACATCTTTAATGCAGCTTGTCCGTCGTCGATTTAGATATTTTACGTCTGGCGTAAAGGTGATGGTAATATCGCCGACTAAACGGAAGTCATAAGTTTCTTTGATATTTCATCTCTCATGACAGCCACGGGACAAAATGAGGCAATGTGTTCTCTGTTTTATTTACACAAATTTTTTATAGATTAAAAACATAATTTATTTTAGCCATAAATACATAAAAGACTTAAGCTGAACCGAATAAAAGAACAGAAATTTGATAAATAATGAGACATTTTTATATTTAATGTTTTATAAAAGTTACAGTATTAATAGCAACCTTAATCATTTAATTACAATTTTCAGTACTAAATTTACCTAGCCTGTATGTCTGAGAAATGTCTACCAACCAGAACTTGAGTCTAAAGTGACATGATCTTAGCCATACTGCAGCTATAGAAGTAGTATAGTTGTAGCACGAATGGGTCGGCTCGCCCTAGGAAGGACCACGCTCTCACATAATACCACCGTAAAATAGCAGTTCAACGCTGCTGTGTTTTGTATGGTTTGTATGGTGTAGTGTAGAGAACCGGAGACCCTTTTTACAATAGAGGCATTCTATCTTAATTATCACGGCAACATGGCATCATGACAACGCATTCGCATTTTGATTCGTAATTGAGGATAGATGTAGATGTCTATGGGCCACAGCAACCACTTACCATCAGGTAGACTATGTGCATGTTTTTTACCCCTCTCTTATAAAAAAAAGGTACATTTATAGTCTGCAACTAATTTTTTTATCATACTATTCCTAGACCAACACATTGTTACCCTTATCAAATCAGAATAAGTGAGTGGAAGACGGAATATAAAATTACAATATTAAATATATTAGAATATTAAATTATTATAATAAACTATTTCTTACCTGCAAGATATCCCATATTAGATGCCACAGTACGACTAAAAATTTGACTTGCATATTTTACCTTCATCTTAGGGATCTTGGTGGGTAAAACATGATTATCTGTGAGTTTGGGTATTAGTCTAATGGTCTTGTAGCCAGGATTTTCTTTATGAAGGAGTTCAATATGTTGCCATTTGGCTGTCTGAGCTTTATCATTTACAACATATTGAAGATCCTTCGTAAGTAAGTTATTTCTAATGCACTTCAAAAGATGTGGAGGATCATATAAAGGAATAATCTCTTGATTATCAATCATTATGACATTTTCCTTGGGCTCTTTTCCTGCTCTTAAAAAGGCACCTCGTGTTTCATTTAATAGGAACTTAATTGCTTGTCTATTGTTAGTACCCTGGTCACAGACTGTTGCAACCACTGTGAAACCGGCTTCTTGTAATTTTTTTACGATCGTCTTTAAATGTGTTGCTATTTCTGATCCTGAATTAGCAGCAGCAGAGAAAGTGTAAGACACAGCCTTTTTATAATTTTTAAGAAGTCCCCGAATCATGAACACTTGTACATGATCCGCCATGTCAGACTTGGTGAACTTTCCGTCAGTTACAAATCCAATAACCTTGTCTAGTCTCTCACTATATTTTAAATTGGCTTTCAGGGCCATTTCATCAAAAAGAAGCACACAAAGTTTATCTTCATTTTTCATTTTCTTGCTTATATCTGCTAATTGAGAGAAGATTTTATCATTAATTCCAGGTTTCACATCTGCTTGGCATAATAATTTAGTAAGCGTGCGAGGTGCTGGCAATATAAAAATATTACGCAAAAATCGATAGCATTTTGGACTTTGTTTCAGTATCGATAGTGCTTGTATTTTTTCCTCAATTGAGAAGCGACGGCCTTTGCCTTTCTTTTTGTGTTCTCTAAACTGCATTAATAATAGAACCTTTGCAGTGCTTGACAAGTTTTCCAGTGAATTTAAAAATGTAGGATTGTTGATAATATTTTTTGCTGCTTTAAGACTTGCTGACTGCTCCTTAACCTTAGTACGGCATTTTGCAAGTTTATTTTTTACCTGTACCAGCTTCAAGTACAATTTCTTTTCGGCATGAGTAGTTGCAATGGTTTTCTTAATTTTCTGAGTGACAGCAAGTGAGGGTGTACGGCACTCTAGAACAATAAAGACAATCAAAATTTTCACATTTAGAATTCTACAATCAACAACTAATGGATAGCTTATTAAAAGATAGTCATATTGAAAAAAAAAACATAACATAAACACTCACGCCTGTCACCCGGAGGGGTAGGCAGAGACTACAGACTTCCATTTAGCACGATCCTGACATACCTCTCTCGCCTATTCTACATCCATATACCTACACAAACATGCTCGTCGGTTAAGGGGCTTAATTTGGCCCATTTTTAATATATCGCCAATTTGGTCGACAAACTTTCGCCTAGGGCGTCCCTTTCCGACTCTTCCATTCACTTCTGCAATATATATTTGTTTTGTCAGTCTTTCCGCATTGATTCTTTCTACATGACCAAACAACCGAAGCATTCCTTTCTTAATCCTGGTCATCAAATGATCATGATCTGGAAACTCGTAAGAAATACCAGGGGACATTCAAAACTTATGTTTGCAAGATGCAAGATGATGCCATGTGATATTTGCCTGGAAGTGATCCGATATTCTTCTATCATTCTAATCCATTCCTTCTTGCTTTTTCCTTTCAACTAATTATTTTACTCTCTTGTCTAAGCGTTTCAACTCTGCCTTTTTTCTTCCAATCTCATCATTCATACCGCCAGAATTACCAGCTTTGGTTGCTAGTAAATCTAGCCGAGCTCTCTTCTTTGCTTCAACTTCCATACGTACCTCATCACCCCACCATAATGTATAGTCTTTCCTTTCATTCATTCTCTTACTAATACTTCTACTACTTCGGTAGCTGCACCCACTAAACCTTTATTAACATTATGCCACACATTCTCCAAGTGTAACTCATTGACACACATTCATTCAAATCACTTATATTTTCTCTCAGTCTACATTTGTACTTGTCTTATATTGAACTAAGTTGTATATTTTTTTATTTAATATCTCATTAGGGGAATGGTCTTTTACCTTTACTTAATTGCTTAATCTCTTTTCTTGCAAGAACCACTTCATTTTCCTTATGAGAATGTAACTGGATATTGGTCATAGGCTCTGAAATAACATGTTAATAATTAAAATACATAAAGATATACATATATAGTACATAAAAATTAAGCACATTAGTGTCAATAAGGCTGTTTCATTTTAAGTATATCAAAAATAGGAATATATAATATAGAAATATGTTTCAGTCCGTAAACGTAGGATCTTTGGAACAAGTTATAAGGTTTGTATTTGATTTATTCTATTTAAAGTACATAAAATAAAAATTCTTAATAGTAACATAATTTACATACTGTACAATAACAAAAACGTATATCATTATCAAGTGTGGTTTTGATATGTATTTTAAAAAAGTGCCATTGTTAGTACATCATCCATTACCAATCACACTGCAGTCTGAACCGTGATAAAACTAGACATCTGGTACTATATAAAAAGGGATGATAAGTGGATATTTTCGTTATTTAAGTAGAATATGAGAACTTACATTTGTACACAGTTTGAGTACATGAAAATTTGTAATTCAAATTTATGTTTCGATTTGGTTACTGTATACCAGTAAAATTTGAGTTGTATAATTTTACATGTTTTTTTTAAATTGTTTAGAAAGAAGATGACCCCTCTCATTCCCCAGTCGCCATCTCGTTCCCTTTTTTTAGGCATCTCAAATTATTCAGACTTTAAAAAAAATGAAATACCTTTTAAACTGGAAATAGGTAAAAATAAAGAGTGAACCATCTTGTAAAGTAATAAGTTACAAGCCATATTATTTCCACTAAAGTGTCTTAAATAATATGAAACTAAAATATAAAAAAAATATCAATCAAGTGACATACCAATATTTTCTTTTTCTGTAAAATCAGTTTCAAAAAATGTAGTGGTAAAACCAGCAGCACAATCTAAAATAAAACCATTATTAAAGTAACAATATTTAATTATATGATAAACTAGGTACAGCTAGCTAACACAGCTGGATGGAAAGTAAAGCGAGGTGATAAAAATGGAGTTGGTGTCATAAATCTCAAAGTAACAGTAACAAAATTAAATGATTTTTTTTTAATTTCGAGTCAAGACATTAAGATTAAATTTGTGAGGACACTTTTGCAGTGTAGTTATTTTAGTTCCTGTAAAAGTTTCATATTGTGTTAAAGTTAAATGTTTCTTTTACTAAGTTACAAAAACATTATAACATACAACAAACATTCATGCAGTTAACAATAATGAAATGCAACCTTTGTATAATTACCTGATGAGGTTGATGGTACAGGTTTGGAAGAATACTCTAATTGCCTAAGTGGCCTTCTTTCAGAGAGTGTAAATATTGGGAGAGATATTGATTCTGAAAAATACAATGAAATGGTTTAAACATTAAGCGTAACTATAGTCAATGAACATTTGATTGCTTAAACATTAAAAATGTGATTTACTGATAGACATATTTAGATGACATAAAATATTCATGGCAACTCATCAACTAATGTTTATCCTTTATTTGATTTCATTTTATAGTAGTAGACCCTTGCTGCGGCTGTGTTATAGTTGTAACATGAATGGGTGGGCATGACCGGGGAAGGACCACACTCTCACAAAATACCAGCAGAAAATAGCAGCTCAATGCTGCTGTGTTTTGTTTGGTTCATGTGAGAACCAGAGATCATTTTTACCGGATATGAGGCATTCCATCTTAGTCCTCAGTGGGGGGACAACACATCTGCAATTGAGGATAGATTTCAATGTCTATGGGCCACGTCATCCACTTACACATCAGGTGGGCCATCTGATACACACCTTGACATATCACCCTTACCCTATAAAAAAAGTTATAATTTTTGTGTACTATAAGTTAATTTTTAATAAGGATGAAGAATGTATTGTATGCTGTGTATTTATGACATAAAAATAATTTCTACATAATATGGTACAATTAAAAGTGAGAAATCATATAGCTTACTTGGCAAATTTATTGTTGGCACTGCAATATTGCTTATTCTGTTATTTCGGCAGCAATATTTCTCTTCAAAGTGAGCATGACAAACACGACGTTGTTTAAAAATGTACTCATTATTCAAACCAAGAATATCCCCTCCAATAGATAAAACCCACTCTTTAAAGCGGTCAGTCTCAACTGGATTTGGAAATAAATGAAGTGTCTTGTGTGACTCTGAAATAAAGATTATGAATATTCAAAGAAAAAATTTATAAATTTATAATATTGCTATCATTTTCACAATAACTATGTTTAAATTGACACATCATAGCCTATTATTGAAAAAAAAATTCAATAATAAAAATAAAAATATTACTAACACTCCAAACTTTTACAAAAAGTGTCCTTTCATTAGTTTTTACTTTCGTTACTTAAATTATGTACCTTAACACTCTGTAAATAGACCATTGTAGGATATAGGCCTCCAAAGGAGGATTTGCTACAACTGCCACACTCAAATGTGTGCCAGCAGTACCCAGACACTTCTCAATTAGATGCTGCTGCCCATCATCAGTCTGCTTAATTTTACTCAGACTCAGACCTCAGACTGAATATAAGCCATATGGTAGCTATGTCTTGTATAGTCATATATTTAATAATGAGTTTAATATTGCCTTTTATTCACATAAAAAAGATAGGTGTGATACTTGTGAGGCTTTCATCAATGCTACCGGGGAAGAAAAACAACGTCTTAAAGTTGAGTATGATACACATTTAGAAAAAATTTAGAATGGGAAATTTAACTGATTAAACAAGGGTCATTCGAGTAAAAAAATTAAAAAGTCCCTTCGTTCAACTATGATATATACACCTTATCAGTATTTTACTTTAATTGGAACTGCTAAATCTAACAGTAAACCATTCGCAGTTAATCAATTAACCTACGACAGCTTTTACGATTTTAAAAAAATGCCAACCAAAGATTGTAAAAAACTTTTCCAAAAATATTCTGAATGAATCTGTAAAAATGAATGATTTCAGTATTATTTATGTGTCTAAATCAGAACCTGGATCTTTTTTTTTTACAAATATCTTACTCTGACACCTCCTATAAGCAAATAAAAGTAGCAGGGTCCACTCGCAGCACTCAAAACGACTTGATGTCACCGAATTTACCTGCAGCTTATTCTGAGGGGAATAAAATTACAAATAAAAAGAAACAGTATAAGTAACTTTTATATATATTTTATATATATAATACAAATCCTCATAGTAGTCATGGTTTCACTTATTCAATAAGGTATCACTAATTATTTTTAATAATATTCTTAAGTATGTACTATGAGGAATTTTTTCTGCTTTCATTCGAATTTTTTTCTTGTGTAATTAGTAATTAATTGTGTTTTTTTTTCTCAACTAATAATTTCATAATTAGTATGTTTTTTCAAAAAGTTGTTGTTCTTCAAATATTTACCAGGTTACAATTTGCTTGCAAAGCGTAAAGTTCCTATTAAGTTAACATAAGTAATACTAACTTTTAACATTTTTGAGATTTTTATTTTTGTTTTTACTTTGTTAAATAATAATACTGACTAGTTCAATAGTTACCTTGTGTTTCTTGTTTTGATACAAAGACTAGAATTTAGATATAGACTAGAATAATACCTTAAGATTGTTATTCATTAGATTTCTATAAGTCAAGATTGATGCTAAGGTCTTTTTGTAGTAAATAAGTGAGAATTGATTTCATTTTTTTGTTTTTTTTTCATCACTTTAATCGCATTTAAAAATATATAAATACTGTTTTCGTTTTAAACTAAACATCTTGAACAAAAGTAAAATTCAAAAGAATTTTTAGAGTTAATACAGTATTTTTGCGGGCAAGCGATATATTATGATATATTGTCTTTTGTCATACTACCAATCTTAATACATAACAATATCCAAACTCTGTGTTTTATATACTGAACATATTAAGTATATTATGTTTATATATTAATTGAAAATAATGTGTCCAGAAGGAAAGCTATAATAGAGTAATGCTGTAATTGTTTAGTTGGTAGAATAGTTGGTTGCTGTGCACATGTTATGATGCTTGTGTGGTGCATTCGGTGGGCCAGGCATCAGACAACAATATCAGCGCCCTTGTAGTTGTGAGAGCATGATGAATAAAAAGTCATTTTGTCTATCTAGTCCACTTATTTCATTAAAGTACTCCTAAATTTTACCATTACACTTCATTTACTCCCATATCTAGCGTCTAGCTCTCTTCAGCTAGAATTGAAAAGTGGTCAAACCACAAAAAAGCCTTGAAGTCTTACAGGAAAGACTTCATGTGCAATGATGATTATGCCATCCTTGTTTATTACACTAATACTGCGAAAGCTAGAGCAATATAGGTGTAGTTTTTATTGAATTTTTGGACATAATCTGTCGGCGAAACGGTCAACTTCACGAGACGGTTTGCCGGATGGCCCTTTTTGACATTGAGCTCTAGGAGTATGATGGATAGACGAATGGTAAGACAGAATTACACCCCTCCACTTATCGCTAACTACACTTTTAGGCTATGTTGCGGTCGGTCAAAGAGTCCCATCAAGGTTTTCCATTAAAAATTAAAATGTACAATAAATTGCTTTTAGAAATAACAAGACTTCCGCGTTTCATAAGTGTTAAATGGATATACGCCTACAGCCGTTCATACAAGGCACAGCACTGATGAAAGAGATTTTTGAGAATATTTTGAGTTTAAATCTTATCAAATAACTGATAATACTCACTTCCAGAGTCCATGCAGCCGGGAACACAACACTTTTTACTAGACATGTTGAAGAGTCTGTCTCTAAAATAACACTATAAATATAAGAGTCTTTGTCTCAAAAACGCAATAAGTCACACTGGAGGAATTTCCACTCAACTCAACAGCACTAAAAACGAAAAGTTTTTGATTTTCCACGGAAATTATCACACGGAACGCACAATTCACAACCGGTGAAACCAACGAATTGTGAAATGTATAGAGATAATGCAAATGGCGGCTACTCTTAGCATAAATCATTATACGATCATTTTAAAAATGTTGTCAAATATGTTGTCGAATCTTTAAATCACATAGCGTTCTAATTTTATCTTCTTATATCTACAGAGGCGACAACTCGTGCCATCGGCTGGAACTAGTATATTATAATCACGACAAAATCGAAAAGCTGTACGGTTGATAGACTTTACATGTTCCTTTGGTTCATCTAAATTTAATATGATAATAATAGCGTTTTTTAAGGATTATTGTACTAAGATTCCATGCCCTGCTGTTTTCTGAAGTGCAAATTTCATCCAAGAACAACTTCGCGAAAAATGAGTAAAAAGGTAAGTTTTCTTTTATGATTTGTTCTAAATATTATAAATATTGCAGCTTACTCAGTATTTCAGAATATATTACGTTTTTACATACATATTCAACGAAAAATTATGACGTCGATATATTCGACACTGCCCGCCCAGGGCTGGGCTAGGATTTATATTGTAATTGTATAGAATTCTTACAATTAAATATTAAGTAGTATAATTTAATATTTCCTTATTATAGGTGATCCCATTAGAGAAGTTGGAAGATACTCTCGCAGACTTATTTGCTTTGTCGGACGGCGAGAACTCCGAAGACGACAATGAGAGTGATGAAGACGAGAATGAAGCAGTTTTCTCATCATTTACCAGTACAGAACCTGAGGATATTTTATTTGGATCTGGTCTGAATGAATCACAGCCAACAACATCAACAGTTTCGATTCTTCCGTCATCTCCTAATATGGATATATCTGCCACACATGATAGTATTACAGGTAGTACTCAACCTACTCCCTCTAATTCTAGAATGTCTTCAATCACAAGACCTGTTACACCTGTAGTTACACAAGCTGATGACACGGATAACTCGGAAGACAGTTCAGAAAATAACTCGGAAGATGATGGCGATGAAGAGTGGAAAAAAGTGCAATTTCCACACATCCCGCCTACTGAGAAATTTGATGAAATTTTACTGCGACCATCACAGTTTTTTCCTAATCGAAGTTCTCCTCGGACATATTTCAATGTTTTTTGAATGATGAAGTCCTATTGAACATAGTTGATCAGACAAATTTATACGCAGCCCAAAACCGACAGAAAGATTGGGATATTGTAACATTGCAGGAGCTAAAAGCTTTTTTTGGTATTTTGATACTTATGGGCATTCACGTACTTCCAAATATATCTCTCTACTGGTCTTCCGATCCTACGTTCCGTGTGGCAGAGATTGCTAATGTTATGACAGTGAAGAGATTTAAAAAGATTTTGGCAAATTTACACCTAAACGACAACAGTCAAATGCCCAAGAGAGGTGAAGAAAGGTATGATAAACTTTACAAAATAAGGCCTATGATCAAAATTTTGAATAGTGCTTTCCAAAGTGGTGGAGTGTGCTCATCATCGCAAAGCATAGATGAGTGCATGATTAAATTCAAAGGGCGTAGCACTCTGAAGCAGTATATGCCAAAAAAACCAGTAAAACGGGGTTTCAAAGTGTGGTCGCGCTGTGACAGTCTGACTGGATATTTGTATCAGTTCGAGATTTATACTGGAAAAAAAGATGACGCCACTACAGAGGTTGGATTAGGAGCCAGTGTGGTAAGAGAACTATCAAAAAATCTTATTGATGAAAATGTTGAGAATACTCACATCGCTTTTGATAATTTTTTTGCGTCCCATGAGCTATTGCAGTACCTATTTGATAATAATATTTATGCAACTGCAACTGTACGCGCAGATCGTACAAACTTGCCCAAACTTATAAAAAACCAAAAAAAAAAGAAAGATGAACCTAAACCGCCTCCTCTGGTACTGGCTAAAGGAGAGTACAAATGGCGAGTCAACCAGAACGTCGCATTTTTTGTATGGAAAGATACTAAATTGGTGTATGTATTGAGTACTGCTTATCATCCCCGTCAGAAAACATGTAGAAGAACGCAGAAGGATGGTTCGAAGTCTAACGTTTCTTGTCCCATAGGAATCCTGGAGTATACCAAAAGAATGGGAGGAGTTGATAGATTTGACCAGAAGAGAGGTACATACTCCATCTCAAGACGTAGTAAGAGATGGTGGATGCGAATATTTTACTTTTTGGTTGATTCTGCCATTACAAATGCCTATATAATATACACCCAAAATGACAGAGTGCACAACCCTATGACCTCCTTGCATTTCCGCACCGTGCTCGCACGTAACCTGATAGACAACTTCAGCTCCAGGAAAAGGACTGTGGCACAATCGCCCAACTTTGTAACTAAAAAACCAAAAGGGCCAACAAGTAGACAGAAGGCCATTCACGGAATACCTGATGAACTGAGGTTGAATGATGTGGGGTCTCACATGCCAATGGAGCTGCCCAAATACAGAAGGTGCAGAGCATGCAGCAGCAAAAACCTTAACAAAACATCCAAAATACAGTGCACAAAATGCCAAGTTCCATTGTGCATTGTACCATGCTTTGCTCAGTTCCATACACCCTGAAGGGCAGTGTCGTATATGTCGACACCACGATTTTTTAAAAAAAAGAAAATAAAAAAATATCTTAAAATTAATAAAAAAAATACATTTTTCACATACAAGTGTTATTTTTTCATTTCCCCAGCCAGGAGCTTCTGCCCCTTAAAGGGTTAATCTTATAAGTAATCCGAATTCAAAGAAATTCGGGACAGTACTTGGTTATTCTTCGTATTAGCAAGTTAAGTATATTTCTACTATGTCTTATTTTATTGTAATTTTCCTTTTTTTAAGAATATTAACAATGCTATAAACATTACTAATATTCCCCTTAACCACTCGTGGTAAGCTTAAATTGCTTGTGTGTTACGAGTGGTTCACGCCGTTTTTATTTGTGTGAAGTTATTAGTCTTTAAATAAGTATATTATTTTAAATTTGCTAAATTCTTTTCATAATTTGTCCTTTGTTAGGGGCGAGATTTTAACAGCTCCTTTTAGCTAAATAGGAGAATTTAGGGTTTTTACTGAACCGATCCTTTTTCCTAGCTAATTTCTATGTTCTATGTATTTTATATACACTCATAATTTTTTATTTAAATAACCAGTTCAGGTTTTTTATTATGTCGTAAGATCGAAAAATATTGTTCATATTTCATCAGTACGTAAATTGTATTTAAATATATTTCCAATAAACACGATTTCCAAATAAATACCGAACAAAGCTCGGCCACCCAGGTACTATCAGTAGTAAGCGTAAAATCCTTTCTTTTACATTAGCTTGCATTACATTAGCTTGAAAAGGCTTTTATGATTTATTCCTCTAAAATTGTCCAAATTGCAATTTGTTTTATATTACCTACTATATATATAAAAATTACGCGTCACGTTGTCCGCGATGAACTCCTAAACTACTGAACTGATTTCATTGAAATTTTGCACACTGCGTGCAGTTTGTTCCAATTTGAGAGATAGGATAGTTTTTTACCCACATTTTTTTGCGAATTTAAAGAATTTTAATACGACATGACAGAGTCGTCAAAAGTCCGTAATGTACGCCTATCAGTCACCATCCGTTTTTTATCAATCATGATTGATGAAATTGATTGACGCCTGCATGAGCATCTAATGTACGCCTTAAAGTGACTTTTAAATTTATGGCGTACATTATACGCTCATGCAGGCTGTCCGTTTTACAACAATCACGGTTGTAATTGACGAATAATAAATAAGTACCCGGTTGACCGAGCTTTGCTGGATTTTTCGCTCGGTTTTTTTTTTAATTCGTGTGTTTTGGAAATTATATTTAGATACAAATTACATACTGATGAAATACGAATAATTATTTTTTTTTTGTTCTTAGCGACATAATAGAAAAAACTGAACTGGTTATTTGAATAAAAAATCATGAGTGCAATTAGTTTCATTTAAATTTTTGTGTTTTTAAAAAAATACTAAAAAAAGGGCTCGAAAAAATAGATTTTCTCAAAAAAGAAAGGAACTTGAAAAAAGTTAAAAAAAAGTCGGTCGGTCAGTCTGGGCTCGAACCATGGTATTATGATTTTGTGACCGCTCAATATACCAATTAAGCTACTTGTAATCATTAACAAACAATTAAAATTTACCTTCTTATTCTAACGATATTGTAGCAGTTTTTCATTGCCTAAAAACACGGACAAAAAGACATTTTCTAAAAATAAATCCTAGCTAGATCGATTTATTACCCCCGAAACTCCCTGCACACAAAATTTTATGAAAATCGTTGGAGCCGTTTCCGAGATTCCGATTATATATATATATATATATATATACAAGAATTGCTCGTTTAAAGGTATAGGATAATGTCCTCCAGACCGAATTTCGGCCACGGCGGCCTGCCTCCACGGACGCTAGCCATCGATGCAGGACAGGATTATAGTGCCCAAGTGTATGCGCAAGCACAGGTGCACTCTCTATTCCCTCACTCTCATAATCCGATGGGACGGCAAATAGACACGACCGGAGAGAGATCAGGCGCAGGACCAACGGCTTTACATGCTTTCCGAGGCACGGGTGTGAGACACCGCCAACTTCCTGACTCCGGGCAACTACTGAACCACTAGTTGACGGAAAAACTCAATAATTAATTTTTTGGCCCGACCTGGGATTCGAACCCAGGACCTTATGATCAGCAGCCGCACTACTACAACTACTAGACCAAAGAGGCGGTCTGTTTTTTATCAATCATGATTGATGGAATTGATTGATGCCTGCATGAGCGTCTAATGTACGCCTTAAAGTAACTTTTAAATTTATGGCGTACATTATAAGCTCATGCAGGCTACTCAGTTTTACAACAATCACGGTTGTGATTGACGAATAACCTACAGTGTAATGCAGTGATTGACGCCTGTATGAGCGAGTAATGTACGCCTGTCGAGGCAGTCCGTTTTTTACCAATCATGATTGATGGAATTGGTTGACTCCTGCATGAGCGTGTAATGTACGCCTATGTATAAAATAATTGATAGCCATGTTTTCATTTCAGTATTACTTGCTGGTATGGCAATGGTTCATTGAGCAATCTATTTCGAAAATTTATATATTTCAGTTAGAATCAAAAGAATGAGCATTTTAAAATCATCTGTTTAGAATTTATATGACAGCAAAAATATTCAATATGATATGATGATGTCGTAAAAAAACAACAATTAATAAATAAATATACATTTTATATTTTACATCCCTCAGTCAATATTATATATATAAACAATTATTCATGTATGTACATTAAATTAACTACAAGCAAATTAATATAACATTTACATATAATTACATTACACAAATTATATTTATCATCTTAAATGCTATTAATAACATAACATAACCAAATAGCAAGGAATAAGTAACACGTTTAATAGTAATGCAGAATATATGTATATATATTCAAGATATAATTGCATATATTTTATATATTTAATATTAATTCAAAATCTCGCAATATAGTTATGATTAGGATTCAATGAAAGATTTAAATCTTTGATGGACATCAATGTCAATTGCATTTATACAAATAAATGCATAACCTATTCTATCAATATATACATAAAGTAATAAGTTTACTTAATGAAATGAACAGCATTTATCAAAGAGGAGTCATTAGTTCGCTCCTGCTTCCTCTTACATTTTGGACATGGTGTGTTTGCATTAAGACATTTAGCATGAAATACACTTGAGCATTCATCACATCTGTAAGTTATACTTGTTTCAAAGGGGTACAATATTTTTGGATCTCGACAGACTTCACATATAAATCCCTTTTGACTACAAAGCCAACAATCAAGCACATGTGATTTAGCAAAATTAACCACCTTCTCCAATTGTAGCACTAGGGAACCATTAGGTATCTGAGCAAGGTCAGATATTGTGTATAAGTGCACATGGTCATACAAGTACTCCCTAGGCCAAATCCTTTTTTGTAACTCTTCAATAACTGGTTCTCTGCACGTAAATATATAGGACCTCAAAAAATTAAGCTGTATTCTTAATTCTTGAAGGTGTGCCATATCGGAAACACCACAATATATTTTCGGATTTAGCTTTTTCATATCTATCCATGGATTATGTTGAAATTCTAACAAAAAAAGTGCAGATTTTTTTGAAACTGGATATCTTTTGAAATCCCAGTTGTGTATAACTCGAGCTGGAATTATAAACACATTTGGATCCATACAATTGGAACAATAATATTCTCCAGTGTAGCCACACACTTTTGCTTTAGAAACGGTGCTGCCTAGTAAGTCTTGACAACTTTTGCATTGGTAATTTTGATGATCTAGTCCTTTTTCTCTTGATAATGTTCCAAGTTGCTGTACCAGTTTCTGCAATTCTTGGACACTAAAAGAGCCTGTAGAATTATTGGGTACAACTTCAAAATCGAAGCCATGCAATGCAAGTTCCTCTGGGACTGTATTTTCTACCATTAGGTCACAAATATCACTATCCTCACTTGTTAACTTTAATTCCTTGTGAATGTCCTTCATAATATCTCTTAAATTAGGTGTATTTGCATATGTGTCACCAAAGTTACTTGAATGATCTAACAGAGAAGATAGGCTTTTTAACTCTGGAGTTTTAATAAGGCTACTTCCATGGGATGAATTTGAATTTATTGATGTATTTAATTCATCGTTATTGTCTGTTGACCATCCTTTTCCACATAATGAATTTCCTGTGACAAGCATATCTGATGGTGTAACAAAATCTCCAGATTCATTAGATGAAGTATACACCTGAACTTCTTGATCTTGACTAGTAGTTGGTCTCTCAATATCAACAGAAATAGAAGCAGTAAGATGCTTATGGTGGTCTTCTTTTTTTCCTTCAGCAACATTCTTTTCTTCAATTTGTGGCTTATCATTTCTATTAGTAATATCATTTGAATTCTTTGAAAGAATAAAATCTAAAGCTTCATCTTCATTTAATGCCAACATTCTGCCTAACCCTGTAAGGTTAGAAGTTCGAGTTGGTGTAGATGATAATTTAGTTTTATTTTCATCAGAAAGTGTACTGACCACATCTAAGCCAGCACTAATTGGGGCAGCTCGCATTGTGGGCACCCATATCCCAGCTTGCATTAGCACCTGTTCTGGCCATTGATTTAATAAGCTTGAATTTATTGGTAAGTTAAACTGGACACATGATTCTAAACCTTCAACGAGTTTCTGTGCTACCTCTAATATTTCAGAATCACAAACAAATGCTGACCGATTATAAAAAGGTTTAACAGCTGATATATTCTTCAATAATGTGGCCATGTAAGATGATAGTAAACAATCGTTAAGAGCAATTCGTAACCAAGCACGGCACTGACCTATTTCTGTGTTTATTTGTGGTAGTGAAGATATTTGATCAATATTTTGTCTATGAGATAAAACAAGTATAAGAGGCCAAAAACTAGACTGTGGGCGGAAATCAGGATCGCCTGATATAACATTTTTAGCTTTTCTTAAAAACGTGTCCCTTAAACCATGAAGAAATACTGCTTCCAA